TTTTCACATAGCTCATAACTTTTCCCACATAGTCATGTCATATAATGCTTTTTATATGAACTCATGTCATGTCTCATAATACAGAATATGCTCATGTACCAAGATATAAAATCTAGACTTATCACAAGTCTAGAATGGAGTATATTTCTATAATTATTGCTATGCATATGCACTCACCTATATTTCTTTGCCTTTTCCTCGATCGATCCTACTTGTAGATTGTTCCCGAACTCGTGTAGGCTCAGTATCTACATAATAATTCAATGATACTTATCAGTATACTAATTAATATATTCTAAACTATCATTCCTTAGACTCATAGAAAAGCCAATTTCATCCTTTAATGAGGGTATGCATCGATGCACTACTGATGCATCGGTGCATAAAATGCATTCGATGTTGTATTATTATTGGGATGCATCGATGCATGACTTATGCATCGATGCACTAATTGCATTCGATGTTTCTATTTTAAAAGAGTGCATCGATGCATTACCAATGCATCGATACACCTTCAAATAATTTCTGGGTTTTATACTTTATGCATCGATTTACTATGAATATGCATCGATGCACTCTGCCCAGAATCCTCTTTTATGCCCGCAAATTCACTCTTTTCAGCTTAATACTTCATATATCATCCTCTTTCTTATTTCCTAACTTGCATACTCTTACTTAAGCTAATTATTATCCATTAAATATTTCTAAAACTTAGAAATCTAATTCTCCATGTAGAATTTAAGAATCTAACCCAAATTCCAACATGTTCTAATTTGAATTCTAACACCTCATGCTTCTTAGTTAGCTTATTGACAAGTCAAAAATCTTATTCAAACTTCAAAAACTCATCCATATCAAAATTTCATCTAAAAACTCATTTTCCAAATCTATCTCTAAAACACTTATCTTGTTGTCTTAATGTCATATAAGCTTTCCTTTAGCTTATATAACATCCAAACTTCAATTTCCAAGCTAAAAATCAAAGGAACTACCAAGGTTCAGATTCTTACCTTTACTTGCAAGCTTCACGGTTGGAGAATGAAGAGAAGAAGAGAAGAGTCTGGAATGCTTATCTCAAATGCCCACGTGATTTATAATATCACCCTAAGGAATATTTAATTATTTCATTTACTCAATTACTCTTTTGCCCTCTTAATTCCCCTTCTTTATAATTCAATCCTACACCAAATAACTCAAATAGATCATTACACTCTTCCATCATTTTACTTAAATCACCAAATGTTGAAACTTTGCAAATTAATCACTAACCCGGCATGGAGGATGTTACACCATTACTATACTTTACCCTTAATTTAATTTGAAAATATTAAACTTTTATAACATTGTACATATCGTAATTTAAATAATACAAAATCATATACTAAAGAGTACATGGCTTGGAAAACTAGAAGAAAATGTCATAGCAATGGCGGATCCATGAATTAAAAAATGGGGGTCCAAAATAAATGAGCAACAACTTATCGACGACTTGATTGAGGAAGTTCACCGGAAAATCACCGGTGAATGGCGTCGTGACGAGTGGTTTAGGCACAAACAAAAGACTGAGAAATAAGAATTGAGTAGTAGTGGGGTTGGAGTCTGTGGGTTTGAACGCAAAACATAAGCTTTAGTATTAGTAATAACTGAAATGAAAGGTTTTTAAATGATATATATTATTTTAATTAGTTTTTTAATTAAAAATATAAAATAGATTGACAATTTCCGAGCACAAATTTCAACTACAAAATAAAGTGTGCAGAAAAGAGCACAAATTTTAACTATAAATATACAAAAAAAGTCAAAATAAAAATAAAAAAGGGTGTGCAGAATTTTTAAATTTTAATATAATATTAAGTATTAATATTTTTTAAAGAAAAATAGATATGCAATTACTACCTCGTGGGTTACATAGGTCCGCCCTGTGTCATAGTCTTGGTGACAATATTCTTTAACTCACTCGTTGCTTAAAGAACAAAATAAATACTAACAAGTAAATATCTTTAGAAAAATTGAATGGGATGGCGATTATCTATCTGCGATGACATAAAAAGGATATTAGCTGCAATTTAGTTATGGCCCATTGTTTCTAGTTTTCTATGGTTTTTTCTTCTTCTTCTCATTATATATATATATATATATATATATATATAGTTTGTAATCCACTTACATAATTATATAATTTGAAACTTTTACATATGTTTTAGATCATTGATTAATTGAATTTAATAGCTGAAATATTTTTTTTAAGTTGTATAATGTTTGACGAATCATGCCTCTTTATATGAGTTATATATACATATATATTTATTTTATAGAAGATGGTAATTTTATTAAAAATATAAAATATTCAAATCACAATAAATATTTACAATTATAATCGTAAACTAAACTAACTACTTAAGATCATACAAGAAAAATGTAAAAAAATATAATCAAATAAACTCGAACATATGAACAAATTTGATTGTATCGATAAACAAATCATAAAAAAGATCAAAATATTGAAAGATAATTGATAAACCACAAATTAAAGTAGAGTGACATTATAAAACTATCTACAATCGCAAATCGAGTATCTAGATTCAATTTGAAGGTCCAAAGCATGACATATCAACATGATAACAAATAAGCGTTATATTAATCAATCGTGGTGATGTTAAATCCAACAATGAGAAAAAGGATAAATGAAAACAACAACTAAATAATCGAAAAGATGTCAAAAGGTAGAAAAAATAAACTATAAAAACAGAAGAAAATGAACCATAAGAGCATAGTTTTAAAAATTTAAAAAAAAGAAAGAAAAAACAGAGATACAATGTAATAAAATAAAAAATAAATAAATATCAACCGTTGAAGATCAATACTAAGATTGATGTCATCGCCGGCCACAACAATAAAGTAGAAAAAAAAACTAACAGTAATCAAAGAAAAATTAGAGAAAACTAGGTTAACTTATATATATTTTTAATTTATGAGTTATATATGTTTATCTCTTTTACATATATATGCATAAATTTATATATATATATATATATATATATATTATATTTAATTTAAGAATTTGATTATAGTTATTAATAATTAATTTTAACTATTCAATAAAATGTATAATGTGTAAGTGGATTATACACATTATAAAAATAAAAGGTTTTATCTTGATTTAAAATTATTGGATGAATATAAATTGCCAATGAATATTATCAAATTTAACCCTTAAAATATACATTTTTCACCTTTAATAATTTTTGTCGTTGTCAAATAGTAATGTTTTCACATGCCAGTTCTTACTGTTTACTTTAATTTTTTGAGCAAATTGGGACAAAAATGATAGTTTAGGAGTTAATCAAATAAAAAAATAGTTTAGAGTATAAAATAAAAGATATACTTACAGGGCTAAATTCTGAATTAAGCCTTTTTTTTAATAACTTCTTATGTCATGAATTCATCATATCTCCAAATTCTTTTCAAGAATTCAAGTTAGTTTTTTTTAATAGATAAATTCATTTTAGAATGTAAAAAATCTTTTTAAAATTAAATTATAAATGCCTTTGAATTATTACTTATATTATATATATGGTATATGTGTATAATATTTGATTAAGTTAATGACACGAGTTGAAAAGAGACTAATTTAGTTTTAATATTGTAAAATCAATTTTAAGGTAGTAATAAATATCATTATAATAATTTTTACGTGTTTATGAAATTTAATAATAAACTAAGAAGTTAATTGTACTAAATATTCTCAAATTATAACTTTAATTTTATATTAATTTTCAAACTTTAAAATATTATAATTACAAGTTTAAACTATATATCAATACCAATTAAAACATTATGTTATTAAAATAAGGATAAAGTATAATAATGGTCACTGAACTTTTCTAAAGCTTTCATTTATGTCTCCCAACTTTTAAAACTTGCAATACTGTCCCCCAATATTTAGTCTGTTTGTAATATGGTCCCCCAATAGTTACGTCAGAGACCATATTAAAAATGAACTAAATGTTTAGGGACCATATTATAAATGGACTAAATGTTGGGAGATTGTATTGCAAGTTTTAAAAGTTAGGGGACCTAAATGAAAGCTTTAGAAAGTTCAATGACCATTATTATACTTTACCCTAAATTTAATTGTATATACATATATAACAATTTTCAATAACTATGATATACATATATATTTATTCACAATTTTTCATATACGATATACATATATCATACGAAGTTGAGAGATTCGACTCAAACTTTAAAAACAATATATTAATTACTAAAAAAATTGAGTTATTTGAGTTATCCAAGTCTTATTTTATAACTCAACTTTTATTTTTTTTTAGTTAAATCAAGTTTATGAAATTACTAATTGAGTCCAATCATATTAAGTTTTTTAATGTGAATTCTAATATTATTTTTTTAAATCGAGTTAACTACTCATACCAATTGATCTCTCTAAACTCTCGTGACCTTTAAAATCTTTATGATATGCTCTTTTATGATCATTACTAACAATCAATTGATTTAGTAGAATGAAACATTAGATTTCTTAAGAGCATTTGCGAATGGAGTAAACTAGGTTGGGAGGGTCGTCCTTACCTTTGCAGTATTCGATTTAGATTAGTTGATCAATATATCATATATGAGTGATTAATTCAAAAAAGAAAGAAAGAAAAACAAAAACACAAATTCATGGCGAAAAAGTTACCTCACCAATGCAGGCGCCGTTTACGGTTCCGGCGATCGGATCGAGAGTGAAGAGCTTCTCTGAGATTTGCTATAGCAATTTAAGCTAAGAAAAAAAGAGAACTGTGGCCTTTGGTAGCATTGCAACTAATGCCCATTTAACAAGTTGAAACGCAATTCAGATGGAAACGTGTCAGATTTTAATTCGCTGTTTTCTAATCGCCAAACAAGAGCGGTTCGTACCGTTATATAAAAAAACCTCTGTGACTCGGCGGCAAAGTCCAGAGAACACAGGAAAATCACCGTAGACAGTAAGCCTTCGGTTTCATTAAATCTTTCTTTTCTCAGGAAAAAGGGAGAAAAAATAGAGTTTAGGGTTTCAAATTTTGAAGCGGCAACTGAATGACAATGGAGAGTGCATTAGCAGAAGCCTCGGAGCTCGTACATCAGGAGCAGCAAATCGACCAATACGAACGCATTTTATCATATGCTTTCTCGACAAACAACATCGTCGATGCCAAGATATTCATTGATCATAGTAACTACCTCACTCTTGCTTGATTGGTTCGGTTAATTAGGGCCTTTTTCTCTGCCTAGATTTAGTGATTTTAATTGGTGACTAATATTTGCTTCAGTGTTATCGGAAGTCGTTCCACCGGTCGTATCGAGGCAGGTTTTGCAAACTTTTGCACAAAAATTGTTGAGATTGGAGCCAGATACTCAAAAGGAATTTGCTCATTGTGAACTTGCTCAGATTCAGCCTCGTGTCGATTCATTCGAAAAACATGTTCGTTTTGCTTTTGATTGCCACCCACTTACTGAAAGCTACGGGAAATTATTGAATTTGGAAGTACCTTTTGACCTTTAGATACCACATTGTTCAATATTTTCCGTTGTTGAAATCTTTTGGTTGAGAACTCTAGTGAATTCTTCAATTACATTTCTTCCGATTTTTTTTAACTTTGAATTTGGTTGCCTTTTTGTTTTGTTTTTTTTATTCTCTAAAGCCTCACGTTTACTTTCTAAGCAAAACCTGCTTATTTTGTACGAGTAATACAGGTATTGTTTATCAGAGAGAAACTTGCCGAGTTGTATGAATCTGAGCAGCAGTGGTCAAAAGCAGCAGAGATGCTAAGTGGGATTGATTTAGATTCTGGAATGAGGTCTGAGAAAAAGATTCACTTTAATTTTTCGATGATAGCTGCATATATGTGTATGCTTGTATATGTACACATACACATACACATGCACATGCACATGCACATGCACATGCACATGCACATGCACATGCACATGCACATGCACATGCACTTACACGCACACATATACAGTTGTATTCTTTTGTTCCTATTGATAATACTTTCATGTTTCTGATCTGGCTCTCGGGGTTATTGATGACACATTCATATTGTCAGAATGTATCCGAATTGTTCGTCTATATCTTGAGGTATTGAATTTCTTTTTGGTATTGTTTTGTTGAATGCTATCATAATTTAGACAGTTTGGACGGGTTAGAATGTCAATGAGTAGTGTTATTCATTCTGTTTTTGACATTTGAAATTCGTTTTGAACTTTGACAAAAACCATTACTTGAAAATTTTACAGGATGATGATGCTGTTAATGCTGAAGCTTTTATTAATAAAGCGTCATTCTTGATTAGCAACCGTCAGTATGAAATGTTGGTTTTACACTACAAGGTTTGGTACAAGTTTTAGGCAGTAATATTAGATTTTGAAAGTTTTGTCACTTGTCATTTGTTTCTTTACTTCTTTTTCTTATTTTCAGGTTGGTTATGCAAGGATTTTGGATATAAAGAGGAAGTTCCTGGAAGCAGCACTGCGGTACTATGACATATCTCAAATTGAGAAGCGAAAAATAGGAGATGAGTACGAAATTTTAGGATATATTCTTTTATGTAGAAATTTTGCTTGTATCTCCATTTATGAAGCGATTATTAGCTGATATATACAGAGGAACCTTGATTCTAGGCAATTGTATTCTCTTTGAAAATAATCATGCTTTGCCTGGCATGTTCTATTACCAGCTAGCTTGTAACTTATTTCTCCCATTCTGAATATTGAGATATGTTTGAGGATTTCTGGTACAGAAGTTATCAATGTTCTCTTACTACAGAATAATCGATGAGGATGAACTGGAGCAAGCTCTATCTGCTGCGGTAACATGTACAATTTTAGCAGCTGCTGGTCCTCAACGCTCTCGACTTCTTTCCATCCTGTACAACGTAAACACTTCTCATGATGGAATTAATATGAGAAATTCCTTTTTACTGTTTGAAACTGAGATTCTAATTATGTTGTTGATTTGGTAATATTTCAGGATAAACGATGCTCCAAGTTAAAGATATATCCGACATTACAAAAGGTTCTCCTCCTTCTCTCATGGATCCTTGTGTGCACTATGCTTGCATGTTGTTTTCTATTTGATGGGGATTTATATGGAGATGACAGGTTTATTCGGAGAGGATTTTAAGAAAACCTGAAATTGATGCATTTGCTGAAGAACTTAAACCTCATCAGGTTATAAGCTAGACTGTCCTAGATGTTTTGTTTACATTAAAAATAAATTCTATTGACTTAGAACCTTTTGTCTCCCAACAGAACGCAGTGCTTGCCGACAATTTTACTGTGCTGGACCGCGCCATGATAGAGCATAATCTTCTTAGTGCAAGCAAACTTTACACAAATATAAGGTTATAAATGTAACACAATCGATTTTCAGCCTTCTTCAAAGTTGGTAAACTTTTAACAAAGTTTTTGCTATCTTTGGAATAGTTTTGCTGAGTTGGGTACTTTACTGGGCATTCCTCCCCATAAGGTATGATTCCTCAGTGGCACAATTTTATTTTCAACATTTTAACCCACTTGTTTGGCTTGTGGTTTTTTCTCCGTACGAGGAAATACTTTCATTTAATGTAGTTAACAGAGAAGATGGTTGGCTGATACTTCTTTACAGGCTGAAAAAATCGCATCAAGAATGATTTCTGAGGATAAAATAAGGGGCTCAATTGACCAGGTTTCAATTGCTTGCCACATTAGTTTGTTTACTTCACAGTTCCCACGGTGGACAGAATTTTATGTTAGATGACGAACTTACAAAATTTGAAAGGATAAAAATAGATTATCAATAAAAAATATAAATAAAATATATAAAATATACGAAAATTTAAAACTTTCAAGGGCATTATCTCTCAGGTCCCCTTGGTCCATCCTGCTTCCCACTTTAATGGATTCAATGTCTCATCTAGACATTTTGATATGCAACAGGTGGAAGCGGTTATACATTTTGAAGATGACAAGGAGGAGCTGCAACAGTGGGATCAACAGGTAACAAAGATTGAGTGTCAACTGTCAAATATGGCCCGTTCTCCACTAATTTTTTTTTTTTTTTTTGCAGATAGTTGGGGTATGTCAAGCTCTGAACGATATACTAGATGGCATGGCAAGGAATGGTATGGCGGTTCCTGTCTGATCAACTCCACTTTAATAAGGACAAGAAGATGATGGATTCGGCCTTCAGCCTAGAAGAAAACTGTTCATCCCCTGTCAACTTGAGATAAGTTGGGAAACATTTTGGTGCTTGTAGAATGAATGGCAGCCACCATTTTCCATTTCTCACATAATATTTGACCTAAAGGTAATTAAAAGCATGCCATTTAAAGTCCAACATATGACCCATCACTCAAGTTCCAACCCAATCATGACAATCCATATGTATCAAACTCATATATTATCGTTACCGGAAAACCTTATAAAATTTGACCTGCAACATTTGCTGCATAATACTATCAACTGAACCTTGAGATAATGTTTGCTTGATTTCATGTTATAATCATTTATCATTCTCGGTAGGGAAATTGGCTCCCCTTTTCAAAACAAAATTTCCCCCTTGAGGATTAGACTTACACCTCTTATATTTAACATAACTAGACATGTGCATATACGATTTTATTTTTTATTATTAAATAATTATTTTATTCTATATTAAAATAACTTAAATAGATATTATAAAAATCGACGAATTTTAAATCATATGTAGATAAAACATAAATTCAATATTTTATTAAGGAGCCAAATTTATTATATCGTTAATTATATATATATATATATTCTAAATTTATAACTTTGAAAAATATTTTATTTAAAAGATATTTATAAGCTTCAATATTAAAAAATTTATAAATATTATATTATTTTTTAAAGAGGTTAATTGTTCAAATTTAATGACTTGAGTTTTATATAAAATAATAATAACTTTTTATTTATTATTATTTAAAAACAGTTTTTAAATGTCACTAATATAAAAGAATGCCTTTAATGATTTAAAAATTTATCCAAACTCAAACTTTTTATATTATAGATAATAGATATAACACGGACCAAGATTTTGCCTACAATGCCAAATTTAAAGAAGGATTAATAACTGTTGTGGTCCATATGTTATTTTACTTAAATTATCAGTTTGGTACTTTGAAATATTATTTTATCATTTCCTTATTATACCATCATTTCCTTATTGTGTTAGTCTATCATATTTCCCGGTTAAAAAATGAGTGACCCAGTTAGCCCATCGTAATTTTCCATAAAAACATAGCTGTCATGAGCAATAAAAAAAATCTTTTAAAAAATAGTAAAAAATCTCAAATTTATATTTTCCCAAAATTAAAATTATTTTAATTTTTTTATTACACATGGTAACATATCATTAGATTTTTTTATTCGAATATCGCATTGAGTTACATAATAATACAATAGCCAAACTGATTAGAAAATCCTTGTGTAAGATTAATAAAAAAATGACAAAAAAACACTAAGCCTTTAGAGAGAGGCAAGTACGTTTACTTAATAGAGAACTGAGTTGGAATTGGACTTTGCATTTGATATAAAATTGTTGAGTGCTAAATAATCTAGAGAATCTTTACAGATACATTCGGCCTTTTAGTTCCTACTGATTTCTTTTCCAGCTTGAATGCAGCATATAAGGATTCGGTGTGGCCAACAATACTTCTCTTACTACCACTGCACTCACTTGTTTGCAGTGAAGAGGACTGCCTCAATATTTCCAATAATTGAGCTCCTGAACTTGTTTCCATCTCTTCTTTTCTTCGTTGAGTACTTGATCTGATATGTGAATTGCTGAACTTGGCTGATGCACCATTTTTCTTTGGTCGATTCTCCATTTGATTCTGCAATAACAATACAGTTTTAGCAGTTTAATATGAGGAAATAAAATGGCAGTAGAGCTATAGATGAAGCCTATTATAAGAACCAAAGCGACTCCCAATTTCAAACTTGATAAAGATGTTCAAAAGCTAACTATAAGATGACAGAAGCTAGCAAAAATTGCTGTAAATTAAGCAAGCCTACCACTTCAGAACTTTCAGCCATTGTGGTTGTGCTTTTGCTATTATTGTCTTCACGTTCAAATACGAATGAACGTATGATACCTGATCCTTGCTTGGTGGATGATGGTATAAAACAATTTGACCCCCGACCAATGAAAGATGACTGCAATGTTTGCCAAGGACAAAGTAGTACTTAGTGGCCTTTAGAATTGATATGCAATGCCACTTTATTCAAAGTTTTCCTATAAGATGGAAAAATAGCTTACCTTTGAGGACTCATTCCCTTTTTTCCCCATGAACAGCATGTTAGAAAAGGCTGCCAAAATCAAGAGCAATGATAATGGTCATTAGGAAATATTATTTGCAGCAAAGCAACCTGGGTGGTGAAAAGCAAATTTCATTGGGAAAAAATAGTAGGTAAGAATCTTACGTGATGTTTTGGCTTTTTTTCTGGTTTCAGGCATATTGTTGACCTTTATATAACCAAAGAGTTCTTTCGATCTTGCATCCTTTGTTGGAGGCAGGAGCCCAGCCTTCTGATTCTATTATGTTTTACTAAATTCAGTTTCTATCTCATGATCAAAGCAATAAAGGAACAAAAGATGCATATCTATGGACCAGAAAAAGGCTATGCATGCTGAAATCTAAAGTTGCTAATAACTCACAGCTTTGTCAGACAGGGATTGTTCAACAAGTTTTTTTTTTGCTTCTTCATCATCAGATGATATGTATGTGTCATCCTTATCGGTGAACATTTGTGGTATCATTTCCTTTATCTTTTTTATATGCATGCGCAAGTTTACTGGACGTGAATCTTCCTCATTTTCAGAAAAATCCTCTTCATCCTCTTCCTCTTCCTCAAATCCTTCATCATCAAGCAAGGCTGTTTCTCTCTGCTTTGGACCCCATTTTCGTAATAGGTGCGCTGTTTTAGCAGCATCCTGTTGGTCAAGCAGCTTCTGATGGAGTTCCATTCGCCTATCAATATCACTTTGTTTTTCTTCATATCCAGTTGCTATCATATCTCTAAGTTCTTCTATATCTTCTGCATCTTCATCAACTTCATTGTCATCATCCTGGAAGCGATCTAAGTCATGGTCACTGTCATCTTCTTCTTCAGCCTCTTCATCAACAAATGCTTTAACAGGGTCGCCATTGGTTGTTGGAGACAACTCATGTGGTTGTGGATCAATGTTCTCTTTGTCATTGTCCTCATAGTCAGAGGAACTACAAGAAAGGTGATATACATATTAGATCAACCAGAATTTATGAAGGGCAATGGTTGATTAAATGATTACAAGATATAATCAAAATAAGTTGCCTTCACATATCACAAATCCTTTCTAATTCTAAGCTAGTTCTCATGATGAACCTAAATCCATTGACTAAATCCTGATAAATTCTCACAAGTACTGGACGGAAGCTTATAAGCCCACCCAAAGTAAATGACATTATTCTCAAATCAAATACTAATATAAAAGTTATAAGGCTCACATGTCATCAAGAGGAGCAGTGTCAAGCTTCAAGTTCATTGCAAGTACGGATGGTGCCAAAACTTCTAAAGGGCTACTAGGGGTCTCATCCGCAAGTTCATCTTTGGAGTTGTTTGTTTGAGAATCAAAAAATAGATCCTAGAATATGCAAACAGTCAAGCAATTAGATTCCAAAAGTGGTTCTTAAACTGATTGAATGTGAGAGGGAGAAAAGAAAACCTCAGTATCATTTATAGGAGCTCGAAATGCAGGTTTGGGTTCCTCACTAGCAGCCTGTAATGTAACAAGTGCTACCATCAGAACATATACAACTCTAACTGAACATGATGCAAAATCATTTGATATGATATCAGACTGATAATCACAATGTGCTACCATGCCTATAAGTTTCCAAAACATGCAATAATCTTAAAGGTTCACTGTTATTTCATCAGAGCACAAGGTATCTGAAATTCCATGCTTTACAATTGTCTCCTCGCTTTCAACTTCCATAAACTCCCTTTCATTGCCTCTTTCGTCCTCAGATACATCTTCAAATAAAGTCCCTGCCATATCTTTGCTTGAAATCCCATCATGATCATCAATGGCAAAATATGTCCTGAAAACATGTAAAGTTTATAAGACCTTCAAAAATACCAAGCCTTAAGTTGCCTTTTTGTTTTGTTTTTTTTATTCTCTAAAGCCTCACGTTTTACTTCTAAGCAAAACCTGCTTATTTTGTACGAGTAATACAGGTATTGTTTATCAGAGAGAAACTTGCGAGTTGTATGAATCTGAGCAGCAGTGGTCAAAAGCAGCAGAGATGCTAAGTGGGATTGATTTAGATTCTGGAATGAGGTCTGAAAAAGATTCACTTTAATTTTTCGATGATAGCTGATATATGTGTATGCTTGTATATGTACACATACACATACACATGCACACATGCACATGCATGCACCATGCACAACATGCACATGCACATGCACATGCACATGCACTTACACGCACACATATACAGTTGTATTCTTTGTTCCTATTGATACTTTCATGTTTCTGATCTGGCTCTCGGGGTTATTGATGACACATTCATATTGTCAGAATGTATCCGAATTGTTCGTCTATATCTTGAGGTATTGAATTTCTTTTTGGTATTGTTTTGTTGAATGCTATCATAATTTAGACAGTTTGGACGGGTTAGAATGTCAATGAGTAGTGTATTCATTCTGTTTTGACATTTGAAATTCGTTTTGAACTTTGACAAAACCATTACTTGAAAATTTACAGGATGATGATGCTGTTAATGCTGAAGCTTTTATTAATAAAGCGTCATTCTTGATTAGCAACCGTCAGTATGAAATGTTGGTTTTACACTACAAGGTTTGGTACAAGTTTTAGGCAGTATTATTAGATTTTGAAAGTTTTGTCACTTGTCATTTGTTTCTTTACTTCTTTTTCTTATTTTCAGGTTGGTTATGCAAGGATTTTGGATATAAAGAGGAAGTTCCTGGAAGCAGCACTGCGGTACTATGACATATCTCAAATTGAGAAGCGAAAAATAGGAGATGGTACGAAATTTTAGGATATATTCTTTATGTAGAAATTTTGCTTGTATCTCCATTTATGAAGCGATTATTAGCTGATATATACAGAGAACCTTGATCTAGCAATTGTATTCTCTTTGAAAATAATCATGCTTTGCCTGGCTGTTCTATTACCAGCTAGCTTGTAACTTATTTCTCCCATTCTGATATTGAGATATGTTTGAGGATTTCTGGTACAGAAGTTATCAATGTTCTCTTACTACAGAATAATCGATGAGGATGAACTGGAGCAAGCTCTATCTGCTGCGGTAACATGTACAATTTTAGCAGCTGCTGGTCCTCAACGCTCTCGACTTCTTTCCATCCTGTACAACGTAAACACTTCTCATGATGGAATTAATATGAGAAATTCCTTTTTACTGTTTGAAACTGAGATTCTAATTATGTTGTTGATTTGGTAATATTTCAGGATAAACGATGCTCCAAGTTAAAGATATATCCGACATTACAAAAGGTTCTCCTCATATATCCGACTTACAAGGTTCTCCTCCTTCTCTCATGGATCCTTGTGTGCACTATGCTTGCATGTTTTTCTATTTGATGGGGATTTATATGGAGATGACAGGTTTATTCGGAGAGGATTTAAGAAAACCTGAAATTGATGCATTTGCTGAAGAACTTAAACCTCATCAGGTTATAAGCTAGACTGTCCTAGATGTTTTGTTTACATTAAAATAAATTCTATTGACTTAGAACCTTTGTCTCCCAACAGAACCAGTGCTTGCCGACAATTTTACTGTGCTGACCGCGCCATGATAGAGCATAATCTTCTTAGTGCAAGCAACTTACACAAATAAGGTTATAAATGTAACACAATCGATTTTCAGCCTTCTTCAAAGTTGGTAAACTTTAACAAAGTTTTGCTATCTTTGGAATAGTTTTGCTGAGTTGGGTACTTTACTGGGCATTCCTCCCCATAAGGTATGATTCCTCAGTGGCACAATTTATTTTCAACATTTTAACCCACTTGTTTTGGCTTGTGTTTTTTCTCCGTACGAGGAAATACTTTCATTTAATGTAGTTAACAGAGAAGATGGTTGGCTGATACTTCTTTACAGGCTGAAAAATCGCATCAAGAATGATTTCTGAGGATAAAATAAGGGGCTCAATTGACCAGGTTTTCAATTGCTTGCCACATTAGTTTGTTTACTTCACAGTTCCCACGGTGGACAGAATTATGTTAGATGACGAACTTACAAAATTTGAAAGGATAAAATAGATTATCAATAAAAATATAAATAAATATATAAAATATACGAAAATTTAAAACTTTCAAGGGCATTATCTCTCAGGTCCCCTTGGTCCATCCTGCTTCCCACTTTAATGGATTCAATGTCTCATCTAGACATTTGATATGCAACAGTGGAAGCGGTTATACATTTTGAAGATGACAAGGAGGAGCTGCAACAGTGGGATCAACAGGTAACAAAGAGTGTCACTGTCAATATGGCCCGTTCTCACCTAATTTTTTTTTTTTTTTTTGCAGATAGTTGGGGTATGTCAAGCTCTGAACGATATACTAGATGGCATGGCAAGGATGGTATGGCGGTTCTGTCTGATCAACTCCACTTTAATAAGGACAAGAAGATGATGGATTCGGCCTTCAGCCTAGAAGAAAACTGTTCATCCCCTGTCAACTTGAGATAAGTTGGAAACATTTTGGTGCTTGTAGAATGAATGGCAGCCACCATTTTCCATTTCTCACATAATATTTGACCTAAAGGTAATTAAAGCATGCCATTTAAAGTCCAACATATGACCCATCACTCAAGTTCCAACCCAATCATGACAATCCATATGTATCAAATCATATATTATCGTTACCGGAAAACCTTATAAAATTGACCTGCAACATTTGCTGCATAATACTATCAACTGAACCTTGAGATAATGTTTGCTTGATTTCATGTTATAATCATTTATCATTCTCGGTAGGGAATTGGCTCCCCTTTTCAAAACAAAATTCCCCCTTGAGGATTAGACTTACACCTCTTATATTTAACATAATAGACATGCATATACGATTTTATTTTTATATTAAATAATTATTTTATTCTATATTAAAATAACTTAAATAGATATTATAAAAATCGACGAATTTTAAATCATATGTAGATAAAACAAAATTCAATATTTTATAAGGAGCCAAATTTATTATATCGTTAATTATATATATATATATTCTAAATTTATACTTGAAAAATATTTTATTTAAAGATATTTATAAGCTTCAATATTAAAAAATTTATAAATATTATATTATTTTTTAAGAGGTTAATTGTTCAAATTTAATGACTTGGTTTTAATAATAATAACTTTTTTATTTATTATTTAAAAACAGTTTTTAAATGTCACTAATATAAAAGAATGCCTTTAATGATTTAAAAATTTATCCAAAACTCAAACTTTTTATATTATAGATAATAGATATAACACGGACCAAGATTTTGCCTACATGCCAAATTTAAAGAAGGATTAATAACTGTTGTGGTCCATATGTTATTTACTTAAATTATCAGTTTGGTACTTTGAAATATTATTTATCATTTCCTTATTATACCATCATTTCCTTATTGTGTTAGTCTATCATATTTCCCGGTTAAAAAATGAGTGACCCAGTTAGCCCATCGTAATTTTCCATAAAACATAGCTGTCATGAGCAATAAAAAAAATCTTTTAAAAAATAGTAAAAAATCTCAAATTTATATTTTCCCAAATTAAAATTATTTTAATTTTTTTATTACACATGGTAACATATCATTAGATTTTTTTATTCGAATATCGCATTGAGTTACATAATAATACAATAGCAAACTGATTAGAAAATCCTTGTGTAAGATTAATAAAAAAACAAAAAAACACTAAGCCTTTAGAGAGAGCAAGTACGTTTACTTAATAGAGAACTGAGTTGGAATTGGACTTTGCATTTGATATAAAATTGTTGAGTGCTAAATAATCTAGAGAATCTTTACATACATTCGGCCTTTTAGTTCCTACTGATTTCTTTTCCAGCTTGAATGCAGCATATAAGGATTCGGTGTGGCCAACAATACTTCTCTTACTACCACTGCACTCACTTGTTTGCAGTGAAGAGGACTGCCTCAATATTTCCAATAATTGAGCTCCTGAACTTGTTTCCATCTCTTCTTTTCTTCGTTGAGTACTTGATCTGATGTGAATTGCTGAACTTGGCTGATGCAACCATTTTTCTTTGGTCGATTCTCCATTGATTCTGCAATAACAATACAGTTTTAGCAGTTTAATATGAGGAAATAAAATGCAGTAGAGCTATAGATGAAGCCTATTATAAGAACCAAAGCGACTCCCAATTTCAAACTTGATAAAGATGTTCAAAAGCTAACTATAAGATGACAGAAGCTAGCAAAAATTGCTGTAAATTAAGCAAGCCTACCACTTCAGAACTTTCAGCCATTGTGGTTGTGCTTTTGCTATTATTGTCTTCACGTTCAAATACGAATGAACGTATGATACCTGATCCTTGCTTGGTGGATGATGGTATAAAACAATTTGACCCCCTACCAATGAATGACTGCAATGTTTGCCAACAAAGTAGTACTTAGTGGCCTTTAGAATTGATATGCAATGCCACTTTATTCAAAGTTTTCCTATAAGATGGAAAAATAGCTTACCTTTGAGGACTCATTCCCTTTTTTCCCCATGAACAGCATGTTAGAAAAGGCTGCCAAAATCAAGAGCAATGATAATGGTCATTAGGAAATATTATTTGCAGCAAAGCAACCTGGGTGGTGAAAAGCAAATTTCATTGGGAAAAAATAGTAGGTAAGAATCTTACGTGATGTTTTGGCTTTTTTTCTGGTTTCAGGCATATTGTTGACCTTTATATAACCAAAGAGTTTCTTTCGATCTTGCATCCTTTGTTGGAGGCAGGAGCCCAGCCTTCTGATTCTATTATGTTTTACTAAATTCAGTTTCTATCTCATGATCAAAAGCAAAACAAAATGCATATCTATGGACCAGAAAAAGGCTATGCATGCTGAAATCTAAAGTTGCTAATAACTCACAGCTTTGTCAGACAGGGATTGTTCAACAAGTTTTTTTTTTGCTTCTTCATCATCAGATGATATGTATTGTCATCCTTATCGGAACATTTGTGGTATCATTCCTTTATCTTTTTTATATGCATGCGCGCAAGTTTACTGGACGTGAATCTTCCTCATTTTCAGAAAAATCCTCTTCATCCTCTTCCTCTTCCTCAAATCCTTCATCATCAAGCAAGGCTGTTTCTCTCTGCTTTGGACCCCATTTTCGTAATAGGTGCGCTGTTTTAGCAGCATCCTGTTGGTCAAGCAGCTTCTGATGGAGTTCCATTCGCCTATCAATATCACTTTGTTTTTCTTCATATCCAGTTGCTATCATATCTCTAAGTTCTTCTATATCTTCTGCATCTTCATCAACTTCATTGTCATCATCCTGGAAGCGATCTAAGTCATGGTCACTGTCATCTTCTTCTTCAGCCTCTTCATCAACAAATGCTTTAACAGGGTCGCCATTGGTTGACAACTCATGTGGTTGTGGATCAATGTTCTCTTTGTCATTGTCCTCATAGTCAGAGGAACTACAAGAAAGGTGATATACATATTAGATCAACCAGAATTTATGAAGGGCAATGGTTGATTAAATGATTACAAGATATAATCAAAATAAGTTGCCTTCACATATCACAAATCCTTTCTAATTCTAAGCTAGTTCTCATGATGAACCTAAATCCATTGACTAAAATCCTGATAAATTCTCACAAGTACTGGACGGAAGCTTATAAGCCCACCCAAAGTAAATGACATTATTCTCAAATCAAATACTAATATAAAAGTTATAAGGCTCACATGTCATCAAGAGGAGCAGTGTCAAGCTTCAAGTTCATTGCAAGTACGGATGGTGCCAAAACTTCTAAAGGGCTACTAGGGGTCTCATCCGCAAGTTCATCTTTGGAGTTGTTTGTTTGAGAATCAAAAAATAGATCCTAGAATATGCAAACAGTCAAGCAATTAGATTCCAAAAGTGGTTCTTAAACTGATTGAATGTGAGAGGGAGAAAAGAAAACCTCAGTATCATTTATAGGAGCTCGAAATGCAGGTTTGGGTTCCTCACTAGCAGCCTGTAATGTAACAAGTGCTACCATCAGAACATATACAACTCTAACTGAACATGATGCAAAACTCATTTGATATGAATTTATCAGACTGATAATCACATGTAATTGAAATAATACTGCCTACCCAAAATATGTTTTAGCCTTAAAATCATGAAACCTATAAAGTTTTCGAACATGCAATAATCAGGTTCACTGTTAAAATACAATATGAATTACTCACAATCTGTGGTGAAAGATTTTCATGACTTGAGACATTCTTAGCACTCTTTATTTCATCAGAGCACAAGGTATCTGAAATTCCATGCTTTACAATTGTCTCCTCGCTTTCAACTTCCATAAACTCCCTTTCATTGCCTCTTTCGTCCTCAGATACATCTTCAAATAAAGTCCCTGCCATATCTTTGCTTGAAATCCCATCATGATCATCAATGGCAAAATATGTCCTGAAAACATGTAAAAGTTTATAAGACCTTCAAAAATACCAAGCCTTAATCAACATAGAGGCAAACTACAAAAGCTAAATGCTCACTTCTTTGCAACCTCAAGCCTCCTTCGCCGAATCTTCTCTAAAACTGATGATATGGGCTTTTGAACAATCGGTGCTGGTTGAAATGCAGCATGTGTAGTTTCTAACCCCAGAGCCATACATAAATCAAGAGTTCGACAGTTATCATCAAAATCATTTATGAACCTACATACCAAAATTGTACATAAACCTTTATTGTTCATAATACCTCGGAGCAGTCTCTGAGATTCAGCACGAAGTTGGACAAGATATTCTCTTCTTTCCTGTAAAAAAATATTAATAATAAACCACGAAAAAGCAGACAAATAACATTCCGAAACAAATAATTCAACACAGAATTTTATGTTTTCATGTGAAATTGTTATCTAAAAATAAGAACAAAATATTTTTCTGCACCTTCGCTGTTCTTCTTTCAGGTAAGATGAGCATCTCCCCATCGTCAACGCCTTTCACTCTCCTTTTCTTTTTCGTTCTTTTACTCTCCGTTTCTTCGAAACTAGGCAGTTTCTTTTCTGACTCCTCCGGTTCGAAATCCCTAATTCTTTTCTCTTGACTCTGACCTTCAACGTTTCCATCAATTTCCTCAGTCATTGAATCAAAATCCAAAGCCCGTTTAGCAACTGAACCCGACCCGTTTTCATCAAAGCCAGAACTCGATTCATTTTCCTCGTCAAAAGAACCCTCGTACCCGGATCCCGATTTCGGCTCCTCAACTACTCGGGGCTCCGATGTGCCAAAATCCAGGGCTTCAAATGGGGATGTATTTTCCGAAATCGTTTTCACCTTCTCCAATCGTTTAAACTTTCTTTCTTGAATAGGAGAAGATGTCTCGTCGGAATGCGAAACTAGCTCTAGATCCTCGTTGCTGTCCATGTCGGCGGTCCTTAATTTTCCGGAACGGCGGCAGAGAAGAGAATGTATTTGATTTTGTTTCTTAATGATGCAAAATGCCGAAAATCTCAGAGATGTGCAGATCTATGATTCTTTTTTTTCTTTTTTTTGAACTGCCCAGATCTATTATTCTATTCTAATGTAGTCGGTGAAAAATTTGAAAATTGGAGGTAAAATGAATTAAGGCGCCAAGTATTTTTCTTTTAATTATCTTAGTTTGGCTTGATCCGTGTAAACCGAATTTGAACCGCTTAAATTTGTTAGTTTTGGGCCTTTTGCGCGGGACCGTACAAGAGGCGGTCCGCTTCTCTCCTTTTTTTTAATTATTATTTATGATATGCATTGGTCAAAAGTTTTGGACGAATTAATGTATTAATTTGATTGTTTTTAATCTCTTTACCTTTGAAATGTGTATTATTAGTTTAAGGATATTTTTAGGGTAAAATACACAAATGGTCCCTTAATTATAGGATACTACTTTGTTGGTCCCTCAACTATTAAAAGTTATAAAATAGTCCCTCCACTATAAGCACCACTCTATTGAGTCCCTCGACTATAAGGCACCGCTCTATTGAGTCCCTCAACTATTAAAAGTTATAAAATGATCACCCGACTATTCATATGTTTCAAATTCGTCATTTTCTGTTAAAAATTGATGGGCGTCTAAGTTGGATGTTAAACTGCTGACTGGGGATATGATAAGATTTGATCTCAGAATCTCAAACGACTATACAATTCAAAAGGTTCTGAAATAATATTTTATCACATCCTAGTCACCAGGCTAATGTTCAGCCTAGACGAGAGTAATTTTTTAACGGAAAAGGACGAGTTTGCAACATATGAATTGTCGCGTGATCATTTTGTAATTTTTAATAATTGAGGGACTCAACAGAGCAATTCCCTATAGTTGAGAGATTATTTTGTAACTTTTAATAGTCGAGGTACTTAACAAAGCAATGCGGGGAAACATTTATATACTTTACCCAATTTTTTATTAATTATATCAAATGATTGGATGTCATATTTTTAAAAATATATGATAAACTGGTATATTCCACGTCATTATATTGTTTTTAAAAAAAATAATATTAAAATATTTGATAGAATTAAAAAATAGCTTCAGAATAAAAAATATATTGAGGTAATTATACAAGACGTCCTTAAATATAACTTCTATTTTAAATAAAATTCTAAACTTTAAAATATTTTGTATTAATCTTCAAATTGTGATCTATCTTAAAATAAACTCTAATTTTATAATATTCATATTAGTTCTCAAACTATCAGTACCATTCTAGTAACATATTATTAATTCTATTGACTAAAGGTAACCTAAAAAAATTTCAATACTGATTAGAATCAATTAAGGCAGATATATATTTCAAATATTAAAAAAGATTAGAAACAATCACATTGTTGTAGATGGACTGAATCCATAAAAACACAAGGCACATTTGATCATTTCTAACCCTTCACTTCTTTCAGAAAATGTTATTCTCAAGCCTTGCTTGTTTGTTTGTATGATGGGGGTGATAAGGTTTGCTTCTTCATTTGTACTTTTTTATGGCAAAGGAACCTGTTAGGCGTCATCAATATCATCTTCCGTTGAATTTAGTTGTTTAATCTAATTTGTCTTCAGGCAATGGCTAATTGGTATTATACAGCATCAGGAATGGTTTGAGCTCTTCAAACTTATCCCTTCGGCCTTCAAAAGTATCCTTTTGTGATCAATTGATGAAACAATTAAACCAAGCACATATTACTCATTTTGTATGATCAAGGTTACTACTTATAAATAAACCTCTCCCATAAAAGTAAACCACTTGTACCGCAATTGACATTACTCCAACAAAAACGCTGAGGGGATTCAATTCCTCCTGTCCCACCTTCAGTTTGCAGATGACTTAATTATTTTCTGTAGAGCGTCTATTACACAGATTAAGAATGTTAGAAGAATTTTGAGGATTTTCGGCTTAATGACGGGGCCCATTTAAATTTAGTTAAAAGCAAACTTATGGAATTAATGTGGAAAGTGATCCTGAAGAATGGGCTACGAATATGGCTGTGCTATTGGTTCTTTTCCAACGGAGTACTTAGGCCTTCCTTTAGGGCAAGAATGAATTCGGAAAAGTTGTGGGATCCGGTTATTGCCAATTTAAATAAGAAATTGCTGGTTGGAAAGTTACTTCTTTATCTTTGGCTGGTAGATTGGTGTAATAAAGTCGGTATTATCATCATTACCTATTTTTTTCCTATCTATGTTAAGATGCCTGCTACTATTTCTCAAAAGTTGAATTCATTGTGTCGGATTTTTATGGGGGAGTAGGGAAGACAAGAAGAGAATGCATTGGGTGCGCTGGGATTATGTATGTAGGCCGTTGAGTGGAGGAGGATTGGGAGTGGCGGATTTGAAGGTTACTAAAGAGCTTTGTTGGGAAAGTGGGTTTGGAAGTTTGCCAATGATAAGAATTCGATGTGAAGAAATTTTTATGTAGTAAACATAATGTAAGCTGTCATTCGATGGATATCAATAGAGTTTTTCTTTAAAGGACTCTTGGATATGAGGGGTATTGTGGAACAGCTATTTAAAGGATGATGTCATTGGAAGCTGCCTTAGATCTCACGCTAAGCTTCAAATAGGTAATGGTAAGTCGATTACTTTTGGAGTGATACGTGGAATGGGGATTTCCTTTGAAACTCTTGTTTCCCAGAATATTTGCTCTTTCCTCAAATAATTGGGTAAGGTAGCTGATTTTGGGAGTTTCGGCTCGTCTGGGTGGGTTTGGAACATTATGACCAGGAGAAAACCTGTGTGATTGGGAAGTTGAGCAGTTGGTTGGGTTATTGGACAGTCTTAAAAACATCAATCTGGTTCAGTCTTTGGAGGATTCTTTGTTGTGGGTCGGTTCGGAAGATGGGCAGTTTTCTGTTAAAGCGTGGTAGGAATTCCTTTTCTGTTTTTATTGATGAATCAGTTCAGGGGAGAAAGTTGTTTGGCTGGGGTTAGTTCCACCAAGAGTGGAGACTTTTCTTTGGCAGTTGTCTCATCAAAGTTGCTGTGAGAGTGGAGTTGCTGAGAAGGGGGATCGATGTAGGGGGGATCATTCTCTGCCCGTTGTGTAATCAAGGGGCAGAATCAGTTCAACATTTGTTTGTCTCTTGTCCTGTTTCTGGGAATTATGGATGAAAATTATAGGGTACTGGGATATTCAGGCTTGCTATTCACAAGACCCCCCTAAACTGCTCAGTTCATGGGCTGTTTTGAGGCCAAAATCAGTTATTTGGAAGTTCATTCCAGGGGCAGTTTTTGGTCCATTTGGAAGTAAGGAACGAGATCATTTTCGACAAGGAAAGTTAGACAGAATTTCTTTATCTTTTACTGTTCGTTTCAGACTAGCTAAGTGGTTTGTTGCAAAGTTTCCTCGGTATTCAACTCAAGTTGATTTTTTAATTGGTGACCCCTCTGTGGCAGACAACTTTCCAGACTTCAAGTTTTGAACAGCATTGGGTCTTGCTGGATTCCTCCTCCTATGGATTATTTTAAAATGAATGTTGATGGAGCGGTGAGTAGTTTGGGATGGTGGCTGGTATTGGGGGTATTCTTAGGAACTGGAATCGGGTGATTCTGACTTCTTTTTCGATAAATGTTGGTCCTAATACTCCCATCCTAGCAGAATTAAAGGCTATCAAGAAAGGCATTGACATCTTTGTTTCATCTGTTTGGGCTTCGAAGGGTAGGCTTATTGTTGAAAGTGATTCAAAGACAGCAGTGGAATGGATTAAATATCAAAATTCTGTCCCTTTGTACCTATCTATTTTTGTGAAGGAGATAGTGTCTGCTGTTTCTCGAAATCAGATCGTTATCAGGTGGATCCCTAGGTGTTGTAACTGTGAGGCGGATAAGCTGGCTAAGGAGGGTATTGGCTGAGTGTTTCTAGTCTTTGGTATTTTAGTTGGAGTGTGTTTCTATGTGGTAGGTATTGTAGGAGTGTTCTTGTCTTAAGTATTTTGTAGGAGTTGTTTTCTTCTGTATGTTATTTGGTAAGTGTTTCATTTTTAATAAATTGATGTTCTCTTTTCCTCCTTTTTCTAGAGGGTTCTTGCCTTACGGCAATGGACTACTTAGAAGGAGGTTTTAAATGAGACATCCTATTCCTATCAAAAAAAAACGGTACTTGCACTAACAAGAAGCACATCAGCAGTGTTAACAGGAACCGAAGCTTTTGCCCCCGTGCCCTTAGCTTTGGCAGACTTTCTTCGGCTCTTTCTAGTTTCTTTAGCCTCAATGAAATTGTCATCATCAATAGGTTCAACATTTGTTGTGGCTACATTGTCAGAAGATGTACAAATAGTGCCAGGAACATCTGCATCTCTTTCCCTGGATTTTGCCAACACTTCTTCTGCCAGCAGGTCATGTAATGTGCTCTTTTGGCTCTTTTTACTAGTCGGATTTAAAGAACTTTCAGGTTTCACAACAGCTGACACAGCTAAATCTGCATCTCTTTGATTTTCTCTAGAAACATTGGGTTCTAAACTAGACACAGCCCCAGCCCACTGAGTTGACAAATTCAAATAATTCACAGAAGTAACCTCTGATACCGCCATCTCCATTTGAGCCTTCCTCTGTTCTTCCTGTTGGATTTCCAATAATGAATTTGGCTTAAAGCCAGGAGCAGGTTTCCAAGCACTTTCCGCAGGCTGTGCAATTGGTTCCAGCACTGGGAAAGAACCAGAAAGTCGGGACTCACCCTTTTGTTCTTTGGTTTCATCATCAACCACAACAATTTTAGCAGCTGAAGAGCTTTTAGCATCGGGAGAATCTATGGGTGAAATACCGGACTTGTTCTCTTCTGCCTTTCCTGGAGACATCACATCAATGTTATGTCCAGTACTGTTAGTCTGACCAACAACTGGTGCTTCAGTTTCAGGTGGTTTTATTTGCACCGAAGAGGATGCATTTGAAAGTCCCTTTGCAAGGTCAGAGGTTTGTGTTTTACTAGCCTTTTGCTTTCTGGACTTCTTTTCTGAAGTTTTTCTTACCTCATGAGCTTCAGCATCCTTAACTTCTCTCACCACAGAAGGCTGATTATTGTTTTTCTCTCTTTGAACTTGCAGTTCATCGATAGCAGCAGTAGGCTGAACATCCTCATTTGGAGTATCAGTTTTACGGGTTCTAGCAGTAGCAGTTTCATGGTGCTCCAAGTTTCCACAACTTGCATCATTCACAAGGGGTACAGCTGGTACAATTTCATCAATTTTCTGAGCATAGTCTTGTGGCTGCTCCACGGTAACAGCATGGCAGTCGGAAGCAAGGAGTGGCTCTTTAACAAGAGAAGCCTCTTGGGAGGATGTGTTTGCTTCCAATGAGGGTGATTTTTCAATGGTGGTCGTCACTGGCAAAGACTGTCGGATGCCATTTACTAGTTCTGGTGCATTAGTCCCCAAGCTCTTCTCAAAACTGATAGTACTGAGCATCTCATTGGGTAGAAGCACAGAAGGGGATCCAGAACTAACAGCATAACTTGTATCCCTGGAAACTTGTGGAGGCATATTCATTAAGTTAAAGGCATGTTCATCTTGGGTTCCTGGGATCTGCGAACCAATCTGAAGAATTTCTTGTGACGATGGCTGAACTTGACTGGGGTCCATTGATGAATTCCCTATTGGAATTGTATTCTGTAAGTGTCCATAAGCGGGTTCACCAAAATGCTGCTGGGATTGATGTTCTTGCAAAACCTGTGAGAGCAATTGTTGTTGCCGTAGTAACTTTTGTTGTTCCTCCAGTCTTTGTTGCTGTTTAAGCAACATGATCTTTTCAAGAAGCAATATCTGTTGTGTTTGTTGTACTGGTGTCTGGGGTTGCAGCTGCATCATTAAATACTGCTGCTGCAACATATTTAGCAGTTGAGAGTCTTGAGATAAAGTTGGGGAGATAAGATTTTCAGGTTTTAAAATGCCAGGTGGATTATCCATAGTTTGACCAAGCAAATTAGTTAAGGAAGGTGCGGTCGGTGTTTGCGGCCTCTGTTGCTGGATCCCCAAGGGCGCTTGGGTAGGAAAATTTTGAGCATGATGTAACCCCATCTTAACTTGAAGAGGATCCAATGCACCTTGTGCAGGGAAATTTGACCAACCCTCAACACTATTATTTACTGCAGGAGCAGACCGGTCAGGTAACCCTTGGAGGATGGACATCAAATCAGCAGCTTGTGACTGAGGTGGCGGAAGAGTGTTGTCAGTCAAAGATGTGAGGAGTTTTGCTTGAGCTGCAGGTGACTCAGAGATGATATCTGGCTTTGAAGCCAAGGATGAAGCATCTATACCCGGCCAATAAGGGTAGGGTTTTGGTAATGACCTCTGCCGTTCCAAAGCCATTCTCTTGCCCAAGAGATAAAGATCACTCCCATTTTCTATTCCAGATGCTGGGATGCTACTAGGATTATTTGGAAGATATCCTTGCAGACCTAAAGCAAAACCATACAAGACATTAGGTAGGCAGTTTGAAAACACCATAAGAAAATTTGATTGAACTGCACAGCAGAGCTTTATGGATAAGAACCCTATAATACTCTCTACCTTCAGAGTTCAGCAAACAAATATTATATACTATAAATAAATTAAAGAATGTGTCTGTATGTAAAACCCAACCTTGGGATGGGTTGCTTAAGCCACCAGACATTAGTGACTCCAAAAACCTATTTTCAGCTTCTGTTGCAGGCCTTGGCTCATTTCCGATTCTATCAATATCACTTGCACCAGTATGATCTTTCCCAAGGATACTGAAATTAGGTCTGCTTGAAAAATCTGATAGTTCACCCTGTTTTGGCACACCAAATCCAGGTGGTGGACGTGCTTTAGAACGTAAGTGGGGCATTACATCACCAAGTAAGGAAAACGGAGAGTCCTTTGGTGCACTTGCAAGCCTAACTTCCAAATCTATCCCAAAATATCCTGCCTCATACCAACCTATGATATCAATCCCTGAAAAAGGGCCTTGAATTTCACCTTGAGGATCTTTGTAGTGAAGGATAAGGTCCTCGGGAGCAAGCAGCTTCCTAGACTCATGTTCCCTGTCCAAAACTCCAGATGGTTGCCTCTTAAGGATAGGATCCTCACTAGATTGCCAATTTGCTTCACCTCTAGAATGGGATGAATTCATCACGCTACTTTCCCATTGGTCAATTATATTATTCCGAGGTTGTGACCAGCTCATGTCAGGGGTTCTTGACCCAATATCATTTGGGATCTCCTTCCTGTCCTGTTTGACAGCAGGTGATTGTTCTCCAAATGAAGAGGCTCGCCACATGGTGCCAGGATTAACAGAGTGTGTTACTTGTATACTTGATTCCCTATCTATGGGCACCTCTTCATCCCTTCTGAAAGGACACCTGTTCTCCATAGCTGCAATAATATAAATGAATCAAGATCATTTCTCATAGTCACATAAAGGCAAGTCTAGAAAGGAGAGAGAGTATGTGTCAAACCTACAGAATGTAATGCAGTGCATTGAATTTCAAGCTACAGAGAAGCTGGAATTCAACGATAACATAATCTCAATTATGAAAACTAAACGAACAATCCATTGAACACAAAAATGTAATCCATCGAGTAATAATCTCTTTCCCCATATCAAAACTGCACTAGCCCTTAACCCAAAGACAAACAGATTCAGGTTGGCTACCTGAGTCCTCTTTTTATTTCAACCCAGGTAGCAGTAATTTTCTACTACAAGTATCCATGAAATTATTTATCATATGGTTCAAAAATTTCAATTGAGAATTCTTTACATTAACATATCCAATGAAATAATTGCAAGATGGTTGACAGATGTGTTACCAAATGCAAGCTTTAACAATTTATGTAATTATGTCTACCTTCGAATTTGAATTTAGGATCTGGGTATCCCTTATGCTTTTCAAGCTGTGAATAACTGCTGTTTGGAATGTCAGACCTCTCCTCTTTAGAATCATCAACAGCAGTTGGTAAATCTTCTCTACTACCTGTATACACATGTTCCAGCAGAAGTTAGACACTGCTTCCAAATATACACAAACTTACAGCAGAATATATCTTGAATTTGTTGAATACCAATCTTGTTTGGTCTTGAATGAGTAAACTCTGTAGCATTCCGGCCAACAGGCCCATCTTTAGACATCTGTGGAGCACCACTACTTGTTATGTCCCCTTTGTCAATTCCCTTTAGAACAAGCTATCAAAGAAGCAATAAAATCAACAGGACTCTAAACCAAAATTTACCATCATATACATAAAAAATAAAAATAAAAAATTACCATTTCATCAGGATTAGGAGCACAAAGAGCTAGAGGTTCCAATGGTTCATTATGTGTAAGTGAAGGCACTGATACAAGCTCTTCAACGAGTTTTTGGAAAACTCTCATGTCAGTCCTCATATATAAGTCAAGCAATTTTTTCCTACTATATCTTAAATGGGATGGCTCTCCATGGTCAATGTCACCCTTGTCAGATATGATTCCTAGAGTTTGATGATGAGAAGGTATACTAGCCCCTGAGTTTCCACCAGAACTTCCCCTTCCATGGCCAGCAGAAAATGTTGAAGGGTGGTGACTTTCTCCACGTCCCCGGCTGTAAGAAAATGTGGGAGCCTGCTTGCTTGGAGTTAGTGTTTGGTGATGAGAAGCCTCTCCCCTTCCTCGACTTTGAGAAGTGGTGGATCTCCATGGCCGATAGTGATCACCCTCCTTCACATCCTTTCCATGACTAGAAAGATGAGACAACCCTTTGTTAAGAGGCATATCACCATCACTTCCAAAGTCGACCAACTTATCCCGTGGCCTTTCCTTGTTTTTATCATCAGGCCCCCATCGTGTGTTCCATTTCCTATCATGCTTTTGATCATAATTTAAGTCCCTGTTACCTGAATCAGTCCACCGTTCGATGGATGCACGGCGTGCTTCTCCAAATTGTTTTGAAGGCAAGTTATCCGCCCATCGATCCATCCTGCGGCTGTCACCGAGCTCTTTATCACCATCTCTCCAGTGATCTTTGCGCACGGATGAGTGGGTGTCTCGTTCTTCATCACGCCAGCGGTCTCGCCGACCAGTTTCCATATCAAGTAAGGATGGCCTAAAAACATTCTTCTTCGGGGTATCATGTATCCCCTCATCATTTCCCAATGGTTTCATGAATTCAGAGCGGCCTCTATGAGCTGTATATGGAGCAGGATGATTTTCCTGTATAGATGATTGGAAAGTAAAGGGGAAAAGGTCTGAGATGGCAAGAATATTAAACAGAAGAATAACTATTCTCGAGATGAAAACCATATGATGATAGCACCATGGAGGAAAAGTTTCACATAACACGAAACCCATATATAAATGAACAAGGACACAATGAGTCAAATAACAGAATCATATAGCTAACACAAGAACAATAATAACATACCATAGTTCCTATTCCAGGTTTACTCTCTCCTGGCTTTGAAAGAAGCCATTGCGGTGAAAGTGGAATAGGATTGTCAGATCCTTGAACATCTACATTAAACAGACAGAACCATCAATTAGAGACGGTTATATATTCAAGCAAGTATTTAAAATCAAAATGCTTAGTCTGGTACAACGATGGTTCACAATAGGTGCATTAGATATTATTCAAGCCCTGATTTTGTTGGGGAGAAAAAAATTGAGAAATGATCGAATTTTCCTCTTGAAACTCCCACATTGATTATCATTGAATAAGAAAAACAAATACTCAAACCCATCGGAAAAAGAAATGCATTAAGACTAGAAAGACATCATTTAGGAAGCTTCATTCGACTTTAAAATGAAGCATTTCAAATTAATAATAAAGCAAAGTAATTTCTCAGTAAAACCTATTCATTAAGAAGCTAACAAGACAAAAATAACACACCCAATTGTCAATACAAAGCAAAAGTTCCATTTATAAACGGAATAACAAGCATGTCATTCTGTATATAGTTAATCAGAGAAATCCTAGCATTTGAATCAATGACTGGACAAAAAAATGTGTAAGAACGAAATTGAAGAAGTATGTCTGATACTAATTTTGAGCCGAATTGATCAGGAAAAAAAACTTCAGTACGTCCCTATCACATGGTATTTTTCAAATTGAAATGACACCTGAGGGGAAAGAAAATACTTCCCTTTCTAGATGATAAACCAAAAACCCTAACTTCGGAGCAGATGAATAAAAAAACAGTAACCTCGTAAAAACACGGAATCTGAAATAATGCTATCGGATATCAAAATGAAATAAGCAAAGCTGTAAATGGCAAGAGTTAGGGTTTTACAAAAGACGAATGAAAGAAGCCGTTAATCCTTAATGCTAGAAGGGAAGAGGAAATCGGCGAGGTAAACTACCTTTGGAGATCGGAAGCGGAGGGTTTACGGTGAGGTGGCGGCGGGAATCGGAAGCAGATGTGTGAGCCATGGACGATCAGTGAAAGACAGAGAAAACCAAATGGTGCTGTTTTTGTTTTTCGTTCTTTTGTTTTCCCTTTGCTTTGCTTTGGTTGCGTTTAGCGAGGTAAGGTAAAATAGAACGCCGACAGGGGGAATAAGGTGAAAAAAATTTGTCACATTAGGGAAAATTGGTGAAAAGGTTACAAAATTAAGTAAAGGATAAAATATACAAGAGGTCATTCAATTATGTTAAAATATAATTAAATTTTAAAAATTATAAAATAATCATGAAATATATTAAATTTTTATAAAATAACTCATTCAATCATAATTTGATTATATTTTTGTTAATTTCTTTAATTGTGAATAACTAAAATGAAATTAAAACATAACATTAATCATGATTAAAATAAAAAAGTTGAATTAATAAAACATAAGAAAAGTAATAATTAAAGTACTAAATGTATAGTTCATCCTATAATTATTCGATTGGTTGTGAAGAATTCGTGAAGAACATGATTTCAAAATAAGTATCACGATAACTTGCATGCGAGGTTGTGATGAGATGAGATATAGATGACTTTCTATATGTGTTTTGATACTATGTGTACATCACCACATCCATTAAAATTTAACGGTTAGTGATTTTATTAAAATATTTAAATGATCTGATAAAATTAAAACATTACTGATCAAAATGATTTTCTACCCTAATTTGGTAGTGCCCGTGTAGCTTACCCTACAATATACTAAACAATACAAAAATAGATTAGGTTGGACTCGACCCTTGAATGTTAAAGTCCAAACTTTGTTATGTTTGAAAACAGGCCTAAAGATTTTGTCCAAATCTGTTTTCAAGCACAAAATTCGTACCTAAATGCTCTTGAAATTTTTTAGCAAGCCATGGGGCTTGGTGTTGGTCTCAATTGCGTTAAATAAAAAGAAAAAGTGTAATATAATTTTTTTAAAATGTTAAAATTTAATTAATTGTCATATTTAATATAATAAATCTACATTAATCAAGTACCTATGTAATTTGATACTCGATGTCATTGAGAAAGTAAAAGTCAGCGCGCAATTATCTCAAAAAGGTACTTTGATTACTCTAAATTATTCATGTTGTATATAGTAGTATTTTGGGTGGCTGAACCTTGATTAAAGCTTAATTGGTGCATATTTTCTTACTTGTATTTTTTAATAATGTCTCATATTTCATATTTTAATTTAAATGTTCAAATTAAAATTAATTTTTTATAATCAATTATTTTTATATAGTCAAATTCCAGTTATATTAAAATCATTTTAAACTATATAATTAATAATGATGATTTATTAATTTAATTTTACACTTTAGATTCAATTAGATAATATTATGAAGTGATTAAATTAATTCTCAAATCACATACTTCTTTGTCAAAAATATAATTACTTTAATAAATAATTTTTACAATCTATTTCTCATCCATAATTTATTCAATTGTTCGTAATTTAACATACATTATGTTCACGAGTCACAATGAGTTAGCAAAAGAATCATTTACACTTATATGATGTAGATTAAAATAACATGTGATTATGTTTTCACTCTTCGTTTATTAATTACTCACTGTCCTATAAAAAATATCCTTTATTAACTTTTCAAAAGTCAAATTTTATATCTTTTAAATAATTAAATTTTATCAAATATATATTTAAAAACTAATTGATTAAAGGTTTTTAAAATATATTTTTACATATTTTTATCAATAATAAATTTTAAATAATAATTAGTAAAATTAAAAAATTGACCCAAAAAGTCAATAATAAACATCTTTTATGAGACAGAGGGAGTACATAATTATCTATATCATATAGTTGTATTACTAAAATATTATGATCAAACTCCTATATCTATAAGCTACAATAAGTATTTGTATTACTCACAATCTCTCATTAATGCAAATAAGTAGAAAATTTTTAAGATAAGAGAAGAGTAACAACGAAATTAGTCATTTAAATTTTAATATTTGTTAAATTTGAACTAATACGTAGTCAAATAATAATTTTTATTTTAATAAGTGAACTAATCTTAAATTTATTAAAATATAATTAAACTAGTGAAACATGATTTATCTCATGTCTAATCGAGGTTTGTGATAAATCAAGAATATAATAAATATACCTCATTGTGCTTATAAATATTATAGAACATTGGTCTAACATCTTTCATAGAAGGTGACTAATAATTTATATTTATGTAAGTGATTCCAATAAAATATAGAGATTTAAGTATTTTCTACCTGAAATTTAAGTACAAATACAAAATTCAATAATTATAATTTAAATAAACATTAAATAACAAGATCAAATTGAAAATTGAATATATTTAAATAATATTTATATATAGTGATACTTAAATTAGAATAAAATATAGAGATAACTCATATATAATCTTCTTTTGCAAAGTGTTTGTATATTGTCATTTGATTAAAAAAATTTGAACAGATACTACAATTTATAATCAACCCAAATTATTTAAAAGAAAATTAACGATTAACGACCTTTTTTTGTATATACTTGTAATTGAAGCTAAGTTTATTAATAAAAACATAAGTACATAACTAAATATTAGTTATGTTACAAAGACGTGCCAACCCATTTACCTAGTGATTTATGTTCTCAAAGTTCATAGTCATCCAATATTGTAAAATACACACGTACACGCATAATCAAAGCGATTAAAGCATTAATGTAATTATAGGTTCATATCACCTACTTTTCTTTTTACTGAAAACTGTATAATTGAACATTTCAATTAAAATGTATAATCAAATTTCATATAGAAAATTCATATACAAACTTTAAAAAACACTCAATTAAATTATTTCATTCTAACTTAAAAAGCGTGTTTAACCTATTTAATTGGATTGTAATTGATTTTTTTCATCTAATCTTGATTAAGATTAAATATTAATAACTCATTTTATCATTGTAAAAATAATTTAAACTCAAACAACTTAAATGGTATATACCTTTATTAAGAAATATGAAGCAAATATAAACCACATTTTTCGATTTATATTAATAGGAACGAGGTTGAGATGTGAGTCCAGAGATAGACATAAAATTTTATGTTAGGGATAAATTTATAAAGTTTTAGGATATGAAAAAGAAATATCAATATACGATACAAAACAAATATTTAGATTATATATAAATAAATAAACTTTTCAAGAAAAACGACCGACTCGCTAACCCTTTTCGATCCATCCTGGATGTGACCTATCCAAGATTGCCAAAAATTTAGTTGGATGATTTAGTTGCCTACAAATACCTACGCGCAAGGGGCACCTCTCTTTGTCAATAACCAAAACCCAAATCTCCTAATCATATCTCATTATTGTTTAAACTACATTTCCAAACACAAACAAAACCCAGTGTTCTCATTTTCTCCATTTCTGTGCTGTTGTTCTTGGAGCCTTGGGGAGTTTCATTTCATTTTCCCATGCAAGAAACGATGATAAGGAAGACGTGCCCTAATCTCCATAAACAAGACGGCCTGGAAACCGTCCTGGAAGTGCCTATCCCCGAAGAAATGTACACCCAAATGGCCACCTGCGCGTCTTTACGATGGCGGAACCTGCGAGCTTTGATGAAGGCGAAATCGGCTACTTTTGGTAGTATGTCGACAACTCATCTCCATGCTAAATCAGACAACGAGTTCTTGGCTTTGCTTAAGATTGTTGGCGCTCCTTTCATCCTTTTCCAAGTCCATTTACTGAATTGCACACTTTCGTCTCCCCTCAAACATTTTCCCATTGTAAGTATAAATGAACTCTCCCATTGTCTCCCTCAAATTCAAATGATCATTCTTGTTGAGGTACTTTTTTTTCACTCTATCGAGTGTCGGAACAAAAATCCTAAACATAAACATAGATGATAAGTCTCTTATAATTTTATAGGAATCTTCGACTGCAAGATATATAGTGCATCAGTACGTGGCGGCGTGTGGAGGACATTTGGCGTTGAGTTCAACGACGAGCATGTATGCTGTGGGACAACTGAAAATGAGGAGTTCGGAGATGCAACCTGGTGATGATAACGTGCAAATAAGAGGGAATTATGAGGTTGGGGGTTTCGTTTTATGGCAAAAGAACCCGGATTTGTGGTATTTAGAGCTTGTTGTATCAGGTTTTAAGGTTAGTGCAGGCAGTGATGGTAAGGTTTCTTGGAATCAATCGTCTTCTCAACCCGGTCGTGCAAATCGAGGCCCTCCAAGACTCTTACGCCGATTCTTCCAGGGATTGGACCCAAGGTGTACGGCTAGCTTATTCATAGAATCGGTTTGCGTAGGAGAGAGGAGAGTGGAAGAGGAAGAATGCTTCATTTTGAAGCTCGAAACTTCGTCAACCGCACTCAAAGCTCAGCGTTTGGATGAAACCGAGATAATCCACCACACCATCTGGGGATATTTCAGCCAGAGAACAGGGCTGCTCATGAAATTCGAGGATGAGAAGTTAGTGATGATGAAGCCATCAAAAGGGAGAGAGCGTGTATTCTGGGAGACCAGCGTGAAATCGGTGGTTCAAGATTACAACGAAATCGATGGCATTAAAATAGCACATAGTGGGAAGACGATAACGACGCTTTATAGATACGGCAAGTCCATTAATCACAAGAGAAAGGTTGAAGAAACATGGAGGATCGATGACGTTGATTTCAATATCAGTGGCTTGCCTAATGAAACTTTCCTGCCCCCAGCTGATCTTAAGAGAGAGCAAGAACAACAAAAATAACAAAGCTTGATTTTTCTTTTGTACATGTAGGAGAGAAGCTATGAATCATTTCATCCTTGCGAGTCATTTATTAACTATTGATCCATGGTGCAATTGATTATGCAAAACTTGAGTGGTTGAGTCTTCTAGATAATACTACGGAGGAAGGGATCTATCATGAATTTAAAATTCGGTTGCAATCGTGTTTTCAGTTGTGTTGCTTTTATCGCGATTGTAGAAATAAGAAACGTTATTACGGTGACTATAGATATCGCGATCATACAATAACAATTTCGGACAGTACTGTTACGACTATATAACAACCGTTATTTTTATAGAATAACACTACTCATATCCCTAAACATACATTTGTTACATGACTATAACTTGATTATAACCTGTATACAATATAGTAGAGTGGACGTGTACTCCTAAATTTGCAAAGCTCATGATTCATCCGTTTGTTGATCAATAGATTTTTTATTCGTGATTAAGGAACATTATCAAGGAAGGATAATCACCATCTTTGATACTATTAAGTCTGTAGCTGTAATACTATTAATATTCTATTAATAATAGTATCAGGTCAGTAGACTTATTATGACAACGTTTTCTTGATCAGTACCATTTACCAAATAGAAAATTTCATCACAAAAGCTTACAGTAGGCGAAGGGTAATTATACGGAAGGCGCTAGTCAATATCATAACGTCTGGGGGCTTTTTAACACATTTATTAAGTTTTTACAGTTAGTACTAATATCAGACTGGGATATCAATACTCTATTTAGGATATTAACACTTAAACAAAATATCAATGTAGAATTGACATACTAGAATTGAATCAATCCAGATAATATCGATATCCTTATGAGAGTATCGATACCATTCGAACAATATCAAAAAGTGAGTACCGATATTGTCTTAAGAGTTGCTTAGATTTTCAGTAAAATTTTATACGTTATAATGCCAAAGTCCAGAAAATAATTTTTAACCTTAGAAAATCAATCTAAAATAACTCTCAACACTTGGTTTGAAGCCCTACATGATTTCTAAAGTTTAAAGTATTAACAACACATCAAATACATAATTTTTAAAAGTTCCTAATATAAATTGTTACAATTTTTTTTGAAAGGAAATATAAATTGTCACATAAATCATTATCATAACATGCTTATCAACCAACAACTATCTATAAATGACATTAATATCATGTTTATGAATTTCATAAAATATCTCAAAGTTAGAGGTGTACATTCAAGTAAAAATACTAAAGGAAGCCTTGTTCACCTATTCAAATTTTCTCCTTCCTTTTAACTCTTAAGGACTCTCCAAACTCTTTTAACTTTCAAATTCCATGATGATTGCTTAAACTCTCAAATTTTGGTAATTTTTCATAAAAAATTCTCTAGGTTTAAACAAAGAAGGGAAAATGGAGAAATATGAGAAATAGGAAATATGTAAAGAAGATGATATCATCCCTCTAGCCCATGTCTCCGAAATTCCACGTTTACACTAAAAAATTGAATGATAAATTATATTCGATTTCTCTAAAGAGGTAATTACACTTTTAGTCCTTCATCTTTTACTCACAATTCAAAAAACGTATTTTTAATATTAACTGGACTTGATTTTTCCTCGATTAAGCCTAAACTTCACTTAACAAATTCAATCACACATGCCAATTAATCACTTCGTGTATCGGATCAATACTTGAATATAAACTCAGAAATTTGGTTGATTACAGATATAGGTTTTGAGGAGTCTATTGGCTTTTATTTCATCTTTTCTTTGTAGGCGCACCCCATGATCATGGTCAATTAATTTGGGCACTTTTAGTCATAGGGTAAATGCCAATAAGTCTCTGATTTTCTTATTTTGCTAATACGGACTAACTCAATTAGTGGGTTTTCAGGGTTCATGGAATGTGGGCTCATTCATACTAGGGAATGCCTTCATTCCATCAGCGCCTTATATTGAATACCTTCCGTTTCATTTAGACGCTGCGGAATAAGTTAAATAGTTGACAGGCAAGTGAACTTTCAAACCCTGGTGTAGACTTGTGCTGGCAAAAAGCAGTTCTCTCAATCCCAAATTACTTTTTTTGCAGGCAATGACTACCCCAAAGGGTATTTGTTAATCCATTGCGTCGGTTAAGACGACGCATTTGCATTCCCCTCAAGGATCCAAGCCTATGCCATGTACAACCCAGTGTAGGCTCCTACTGCTGGACTGGTTCAACTTAACATTGATGCTGCTTTTTTCTAAATGCAATGCGCCTAGCATCTGCTGGTGGCATTGCCCCACGCAACAATGGTCAATGATTCAAATTCCCCTCACAAAGAAATTATTCAAGTGGATAAAAGGTTGCGTCCGAGGGAAAGAAAAAGGTAACGTTCTTAAAGATTCCGTTATGTTACTAGAGGAGATCAACGGAATCAAAGATTAATTGATGAAACAATTAATCCAAATACCTATAACCCTTTTTTGTTAATCAAAGTCGCTGTTAATAAACCTCTCCCATAAATAGTAAACGACTTTCACCGCAATTGATACTACCAAAAAAAAGCCTTGAGCGGATTCAATCGCTCCAGCTCTTAAGTTAACCCTAGCTGGACATCTACAAACAGTAAAGCCAAATGTATTTACAACTAACCCCCACATCTCAAAAACCTGTTATCATCTCCTCAAAACAAGTCATGATTTATCAATCTTCTACTGTCTGAATCTCCCCCATCATAATCCTGTTGCTGACCACGTTGAATCCCAAAACAGCCGCACTCACCTTCTTTCCTTTCTTCCCTTTCTTCTTCCCACCCCCCTTCGAAGACCCATCTGGGCTGACTCCAACATCTTGGTCGAAATCCACAATGCTTGCATTGCCGGAATTCACATTTCTGGTTCTCAACTCTGCAAAGTTTCCATCATGTCGCCTTTGAAAAGCAATCTCAAGCACATCGGCTGGCAGCATCTCCTTAAAGTTGAGAAATTTTTCAATGAACTCGTGATTTGGATCAAACGATCCAAGGTTCTCCACTAGAAGTGTCTCAGCCTCAGATCTAGATTGCTTCAAACAAAATTCCAAGAAACTCGTATCTAGCAAAAGAATAAAAATGACAAAAGAATAAATGTCAAAGTCAATCGAGTATGAACCAGCTTCATATTTGGCAAAACTACAATATAGTTCCAGTGAGTTGGGACAAACATTGTTTTCTACACTTAGGCATACCTTTTGTTCCAATAAGCCTAACACACTGGCTCTCACACCAATCTCTGAAATCCATCGCCTCTGCATGATAGTTGAATGCATTGTGATGTTAAGTTTAATGAGGTAGTCAAAAAATTATATGCAGACATTCATCTTACTATAATGACTTACCAGAATGGTTGGTCATCATATCTCTTTTCCCTTTAAGGGAGGACTGAGCAGAGGCAGGAGAGGATGACAGAGTGTGCTCAATAGGCCTGCCACCTACTGACTTTTGCCGATTTAATGACCCACTTGAAGTTCCTTTAGTAGGCGTGCTTTTGGTACCCCACCTGCTCGCATTTGCTAGAACTGGGAAATCACCTCTGTTTACCCAAAAAAAAACAAATTCAAATATCAAATTAGTGATTAACTTTTTTTGCTTCCTTCCGTTTGCATATTAAATCAGCAACCCAGCGAGGATAACTTTTTTCCCTTCATTATCTTTGCATGGAGGTAAAAATTAATATAAACTCCAGTTTCTGATAAGGATAAAAAATGGCTAAGAGAATCCCATACTAACTCCAATAGTTCGGATAATTATTTTTAAGTTAAAGTCAAAATCTCAAATTTCCTTTTATACAAGAAAATCACCCTCCAGCTGCAGTACTTAGCTGCTCTGGATAACAAGGTGCTTTAGAGCAGGCTAAGATGCAGTTGAAATAACAACCCACTTAGTCTAGCAAGGCAGGAAAATACTAAACGAGTAGAAAAATCAGTGCATGATGGTGTGTGTGGGTATTCCTTTATCCTTTTTTGGCAAAGGGGAAGGGATGGATAGAGGAAGAGAACATACTGCTTTGTTTGTTGATTTGTCTGATCAACTGGACCCCAGAATAGGTCATCATCTCCTTTATGTTTTGACTGGGATGCATGAGAATTTATCTGGATTGGAGATGCTGTCTTTGATGGTGAAGATGCAGTTATGGACCATGATGAAACACCCTGTGGAGTTGATAGATTTGTTTGCGATTTATTAGTGGTAATTGGTTTTGTGGGCTGGAAGGAGGAATTCCTCTTCTGCTCTTTTTGGATGTCACGTAATGATGTGGGTTTAGGAAGTTTCTTAGAATCAGCAGACCATGCTGGAGCAGGAAAGGTGTTTACTTGCTCCTCTTTCCAAGGAACAAAATCTCCCAAAGAAGGACCCGAGGGAATTGAAGGCAACACTTCCTTCTCCAGCTGTGCTGGACGAGATCCTTTGCCTACAGTACTTGAACTAACAAGAAGACTGTCAGCAGTACTAAGAGGAACTGAAACTTTTGCTCCTGTGCCCTTTGCTTTGGCAGACTTTTTTCGGCTCTTTTTAGTTTCTTTAGCCTCAATAAAATTGTCATCATCGATAGGTTCCACATTTGTAGTGGTAACATTGGGAGAAGAGGTAAAAACAGTGCCAGGAACATCTGCATCTCTTTCACTGGATTTTGCCAAAACTTCTTCTGCCAGCAGGTCATGTAACGGGCTCTTTTTACTAGTTGACTTTACAGAACTTTCAGTTATCACAGTAGCTGACTTAGCAAAATCTGCATCTCCTTGACTGTCTCTAGAAACTTTGGGTTCTAAACTAGACACAAACCCAGCCCACGGAGATGACAAATTCATAGAGTTCACAGAAGTAACCTCTGATACTGCCATCCCCATTTGAGTCTTCCTATGTTCTTCCTGTTGAATTTCCAATAATGACTGGCGCTTGAAGCCAGGAGCAGGTTTCCAAGCACTTGCTGCAGGCTGTACAGTTGGTTTCTGCACTGGGAAAGAATCAGAAAGTTGGGACTCACGCTTTGGTTCTTTGTTTTCATCATCAACCACAACATTGTTAGCAGCTGAAGTGCTTTTAGCATAGGGAGGATCTATGGGGGAAATAATGAACTTGTTCTCTTCTGCCTTTCCTGGAGACATCACATCAATGTTATGTCCAGTACTGTTAGTCTCACCAACAACTGGCGCTTCAGTTTCAGGCGGTTTCATTTGCACCGAAGAGGAAGCCTTTGAAAGTCCCTTTGCAAAGTCAGAGGCTTGTGATTTACTAGCTTTTTGCTTTCTAGACTTCTTTTCTGAAGTTTTTCTTACCTCGTGAACTTCAACATTCTTAACTTCTCTCACAACAGAAGGCTGCTCATTGCTTTTCCCTCTTTGAACTTGCAGTTCATCATTAGCCCCAGTAGATTGAACATCCTCATTAGGTGTATCAGTTTTACAGGTTCTAGCAGTAGCAGTTTCATTGTGTTCCAAGGTTCCACAACTTGCAGCATTCGCAAGGGATACAGCTGGTATAATTTTATCAATCTTCTGAGCAGAGTCCTGTGGCAGCTCCACAGTAAGAGCATGGCAGTTTGATGTAAGGGGTGGCTCTTGTACAAGAGAAGTCTCCTGAGAGGATAAGCCAACTTCCAATGAGGGTAATCTTTCAATGATTGTTGTCACTGGCAAAGACTGTTGGATGCCATAAACCAGTTCTGATGCATCAGTCCCCAAGCTCTTCTCACGATTGATACTACTGTGCATCTCATGAGGTAGCAGCACAGGTGGGGATCCAGAACTAACAGCATAACTTGTATCCGTGGTAATTTGTGGAGGCAGATTCATTAAGTTAAAGGCATGTTCATCTTGTGTGCCTGGGATCTGTGAACCAGTCTGAAAAATATCTAACCTGGGATCCATGGATGAATTCCCTGTTGGCATTGTAGTTTGTAAGTGTCCATAAGAGGGTTCACTAAAACACTGCTGGGACTGATTTCCTTGCAAAATCTGTGAGAGCAATTGTTGTTGCCGTAGCAACTTTTGCTGTTCCTCCAGTCCCTGTTGCTGCTTATGCAACATGATCTTATCAAGAAGCAACAGCTGTTGTTTTTGTTGTACTGGTGTCTGGGGTTGCAGCTGCATCATTAAATACTGCTGCTGCAACATATTTAGCAGTTGGGAGTCCTGAGATAAAGCTGGGGAGATAAGATTTTCAGAATTTAAAATGCCAGATGGATTGTCTATAGTTTGACCGAGCAAATTAGTCAAGGAAGGTGGGGTCGGTGTTTGCGGCCTCTGTTGCTGGATCCCCAAGGGCGCTTGGTTAGGAAAATTTTGAGCATGATGTAACTCAATCTTTTCATGAAGAGGATCCAATGCACCTTGCACAGGGAAATTCGACCAACCACCAACACTATTATTTACAGCAGAAGTAGACCTGTCAGGTACTCCTTGGAGGATGGACATCAGATCAGCAGCCTGCAAATGAGGTGGCTGAAGAGTGCTGTCAGTCAATGGTGTGAGGAGTTTTGCATGGGCTGCAGGTGACTCAGAGATGATATCTGGCTTTGAATCCAAAGATGCAGCATCTCTCCCAGGCCAATGAGGGTGGGGTTTTGGCATTGACCTCTGTCGTTCCAGAATCATTCTCTTGCCCAAGTGATAGAGATCACTCCCATTTTCTAGTCCAGATGCTGGAATGCTACTAGGATTGTTTGGAAGATATCCTTGAACACCTGAAGCAAAATCATATGAGTCATTCTTTGAAATTTATGGATTTGAACCCTAGAATTAGTACCTTCAGAATTCAGCAAGTAAAAACACATACTATAAATAAATAATCAAACATATGTGTTTGTACGTAAAAACCCAACCTTGGGATGGATTGTTCATGCCACCGGACATGAGTGACTCCAAAAACCTATTTTCAGCTTCCGTTGCAGGCCTTGGCTCATTTCTGATCATATCAATATCGCTTGAACCAGTATGAACTTTCCCAAGGCTACTAGAATTTGGTCTGCTCGAAAAGTCTGAGAGTTCACCCTGTTTTGGAGCACCAAATCCGGGTGGTGGCCTTGCTTTAGCTCGTAAGTGGGGCATTACATCCCCAAGTAAGGAAAATGGTGAGTCCTTCGGTGCACTTGCAAGCCGAACTTCCAAATCTATCCCAAAATACCCTGCCTCAAACCAGCCTATGATATCAATCCCCGAAAAAGGGCCTTGAATTTCACCTTGGGGATCTTTGTAGTGAAGGATAAGGTCCTCCGGAGCCAACAGCTTCCTAGGTTCAGATTCCCTCTCCAAAATACCAGATGGGTGCCTCTTCAGGATAGGATCCTCACTAGATTGCCAATTTGCTTCATCTCTAGAATAGGATGAATTCATCACATAACTTTCTCGCTGTTTAATCATATCTTTCTGTTGTGACCAGCTCATGTTGGGGGTTCTTGACCTTGTATCATTTGGAATCTCCTTCCCGTCATGTTTGACTGTAGGTGATTGTTCTCCAAGTGAAGAGGCTCGCCACAAGGTGCCAGGATTAACAGAGTCAGATTCCCTACTTATTGGTACCTCTTCATCCCTTCGGTAAGGACCCCTATTCTCCACAGCTGCAATAATACAAATGAATAGAGATCAATTCTCATAGTCAAATAAATGCAAATCAAGAAAGGAGGGTAATGAGTCAAATCATCAAAATAATGCAATGGTGTGCAATGAAATTTAAAACAACAGAAAAGATTGGAATTCAAAGAGAGCAAAATCCCTATCATTAAAACTAAATATCCAATCCATTGGACACACAAAAGTAATCCATAATGAGTAATTATATCCTTCAACATATCAAAACCCAACTAGCCCTTAACCCCAACACAAACAGATTCAAGTTGACCGTCTGAGTACTCTTTTTGTTCGAACCCATGTAGCAGTAATTCCTTTTTTTCTCTCCTCAAAAAGTAGCAGTAATTATTTTAAACAAGTATCCATGAAAGAAATTCTCATATGGTTCAAAAACTTCAACTGAGAATACCTTTACACATCCAAAGAATAATTGGAAGATGGTTCCTAGAGATGCTATCAAATACAAGGTAAACGGTTTACAATTACCTTCAGATTTTAATTTAGTATCTGGGTATCCCTTATGCTTTTCAAGCTGTGAATAACTGCTGTTTGGAATGTCAGAGCTTTCCTCTTTAGAATCATCAAAAGCAGGTGGTAAATCTTCTCTACTGCCTGCATAAATAAGTTCCAGCAAAAGTTAGACACTAATTCAAAATATAAACAAGCTTACAGTAGAATATATCTTGAATTTTTTTAATACCAATCTTGTTTCGTCTTGAATGAGTAAACTCAGTAGAGTTCCAGCCGACAGGCCCATCTTTAGGCATCTGTGAAGCACCACTACTTGTTATGTCCCCTTTGTCAATTTCCTTTAGAACCAGCTATCAAAGAAGCAATAAAATCAACAGTGGAGTCTAAATCAAGGTTACCATCATATACATAAAAAAATTAAAATATAATAAAAAACTACCTGTGTAAGTGAAGGCACTGATACAAGCTCTTCTACGAGTTTTTGGTAAACTCTCATGTCAGTCCTCGTATATAAATCTAGCAATTTTTTCCTACTATATCTTAAAGGAGATGGCTCCCCATGGTCAATATCACCCTTGTCAGATATGATTCCTAGAGTTTGATGATGAGAATGTATACCAGCCCCTGGGTTTCCAACAGAACTTCCCCTTCCATGACCAGCAGAAAATGTTGAAGGGTGACTTTCACCACGTCCTCGCCCGTAAGAAAACATGGGAGCCTGCTTGCTTGGTGCTAGTGGTTGGTGATGAGGAGGCTCTCCCCTTCCTCGACTTTGAGAAGAGGTGGATCTCCATGGCCGATAGTGGTCACCCTCCCTCACATCCTTTCCATGACTGGAAAGATGAGACAATCCTTTTTCAAGAGGCATATCACCATCTCTTCCAGTGTCATCCCACTTATCTCGTGACCTTTCATTGTTTTTATCATCAGGCCCCCAACGTGTGTTCCATTTGCTCTCACGCTTTTGATCATAGTTTGAGTCCCTATTACCTGAATCGGTCCACCACTCGGTGGGTGCACGGCGTGCTTCTCCAAATTGTTTTGAAGGCAAGTTATCTGCCCATCGATCCATCCTGCGTGCGTCAACGGGATCTTTATCACCATCCCTCCAGTGATCATTGCGCACAGATGAATGGGTGTCTCGTTCTTCGTCACGCCAGCGGTCTCGCCGACCAGTTTCCATATCAAGTAAGGCTGGCCTAAAAACATCCTTCTTTGGGGTATCATGCATCCCCTCATCATTTCCCAGCGGCTTCATGACTTTGGAGCGACCTCCATGAGCTGGGTATGAGGGAGGATGATTTTCCTGTATGGATGATTGAAAATTAAGGATAAACTCTAAGACAGTAAGAATACCAAACAAATGATTTAACTAATTCTTGAGAAGAGAACTTTATGTTGATAGAACGCTTGAGAAAGCTTACATACACCATGAAACCCATCTATAAACGAATAATAACATCATGAGTCAACTACCAGTTTTATGAAGCTAACATAAACAACAATAATAGCATACCATAGTTCCTATTCTAGGCTTACTCTCCCCTGGCTTTGAAAGAAGCCATTGGGGTGAAAGTGGGATAGCATCGTCTGATCCTTGAACATCTACATTAAACAAACAGAACCAACATTTAGAGACGGCATATATTCAAGCAAGTATTTGAAATATAAATGTTTAGTCCGGTACAATGATGGAGCACAACAGGTAAACTACAAATGATTCAAACCCTGATTTTGTGGGAAAACAAATTTTCTGCGAAATGATTGAATTGTCTCTTGAAACTGCCACATTGGTTTATCATTGCATAAGAAAAATAAACACACAAACACAACAAAAAAGATATGCGCTAAGACTAGAAAGACATCATTTAGGAAGCCTGATTCGACTTCCAAATGAAGCATTTCAAACTAATAATAAGCCAAATGAATTTCGAAGTAAAACCTATTCATGAAGCAGCTAAGAAAACAAAAATTACACTACCAATTTTCAGTACAAAGCAAAAGTGTCGTTTATAAATAGAATAACAACTATTCCATTTTATATACAATTAATCACATAAATCCTAGGATTTGAATCAATGACCGAACGAAAAAAATGTACAAGAAAAGAAATTAAAAAAGCATGTCCAATAATAGTTTTGAGTCGAAAAAATAGTGTAACGTCATTCCGTCCCCATCACTCGGTAAGTCGGAAACTGAAGTGCTCAGAGTTTAAAGCACAAAGTGGCACCAGAGTAACAGGATGAAAAAGAAAAAGAGAAAAACTTCCATTTCTAGATGATAAACCAAAAACCCTAACTTCGAAGCAACCAAACAAAATAAAAACACAGCAATTTCGTAAAACCAACGAATCTAGAGAAATGCTTTCAATTAACAAAAAAATGAGCAGAACGTGAAATGGTAAGAGCTAGGGTTTTACAAAAGATGAAAGGAAGAAAGAAACCGTTAATCCTTAATGCTATAAAGGGAGAGGAAATCGGCGACGTAAACCACCTTTGGAGATCGGAAGGGGAGGGTTGACGGTGAGGTGGCGGCGGGAACCGGAGGCAGAGGTATGAGCCATGGATAATCGGAGAAAGACAGAACCAAATGCTGTTTTTGCTTTTCGTTCTTTTTTCCCTTTGCTTTGGTTGCGCTTAGCGAAGTGAGGAGAGAATAGAATGCGAAGATGTATTTAGTTTACATTTACTTCAGAAAATGCAACATATGATAAAAAGGATATACTACATTGGGGATCACTTTTGTTTAGTTTTATTCTTATTTTGATCACTTATATTTACGAATTTGTTATAATTTAATCACTAAATCATTAATTCTTGTTATATCAATGACATTACACATTAATAAAAGGGTTAATTCTTAATTTGACCTCTAAACTTTCTAGAATCTCTTTACTAAAGTCATATGCACGCAACACCACTACAATCTTTGATTCTACTTTCGTCACCTTTTTAATTGCTTTTTTCATAATCCCCACTAATTTATCCAAAAGAACATTGTTAACTTCACCACTATCGCTTTCAAACTTCTCCACTATAATTCTTTATTAAACGACTAAAATTGTTATATCATTTCATCTCAAAAAATCTAAAGTACATTGATAATAAATAAAATGATCTATTATTTATTGTCGACGCAAAATATAAATTTGACACGTTAAGTCAATAAAACAAAAGTATATGATTAAACAAATACATAGACAAACATCACAGCTTATATATATTCTCTGCTCACACTAAAAATGGTGGACTATAAATCCTAAACTCACAATCATTTTGAATCATCATCTCAATTATTGCACATCAAAATTGTTATGGTAACTATAAATCAAACTTCTTAACTAACATAATCAGTAAAAATACTTACACGGTAGCAAACCCAAACTAACCCCGTGACTTAAAACTTGTACATAGAACACGAAAACCAACATTTAGGTCAGGATTCGTCTAATGGTCTGATAGAAAACATGCAAATATCTTTAAGTTTTATTCGTAGTCAGCTAATCCAACAACAAGGATTTTATGAGCAGTAAATAAGCCAGTTCAACTGAGGTTTTCCTAGGCTTACATAGGGTTTCGAGATGTGATCTTGTAACACTCCCGACTCGACTTAGATGAGAACTAAATCGGAGATGTTACATTGACCGTTTAAAACTTAATATGACTCTAATCAAAACTAAATCGATTAATTAGACATCCAAAGAATCACCAAATTTTAAATTAGGGACTAAGATTCCACACATATCAAATATGTCTAATTATAAATCATAACATTAAAAAGATCCAAATTACGAATTTGAACAAAAAGGAAATCATAACCCAATGTCTAGTTTTGATGTCTTAAAATCCTTTGGGTTTTTTTAGTATCAAAACTAAACCTCTAAGTTTTAAAATCCAATACCTTTGAATTTAGTAACCCCAAAACTTTCTAAAATGAGAGTTTTGAAACTTTATTGTAAAATCTTAAATGTGATTTGGTCCCATATGAAGAATCTAAATGTCATACATAACCATCAAAATAACTAATCATTAAATAAAAACTCATTACTCAAAACCATTGAGACATAATATTCTCATCATAATAAACAAAAATAATATTAGTTAGATTATACAAAACATGGAACTTCATAGTTTAAACAAAGGTATATCAAACAAAACAAAACTGAATTGATATTTTTATCTAATATATTTAATTAAATTATGTCATTCAATTTTTATTATTGATAAATTGAAACACTTATATTAATGGTATTAAATAATTATAACAAACTAAAATCGATATTTTTATCTAACATATTTTTATATATTATTATAAAATAATATTTTATTGAAAATTTAAATAATTTATTGTTAGATTTTTAAGCATTTCATTTAAGTAAATTCAGAAGTAAAAAAGAATTAAATTTTCTACAAATTTTAACAAAAACTTATTTAAACTATCAATTAAATATTATTTAATGATAATATGCAAACATATGTCAAATAAAAGTTTCAATCTAATATTTTCTGATAGAATTATTTAACTGTATTTATATAAGTGACTTAATTTATTAATAAACAAAAATTAATTGATATATTTGATTGAATTAAAAATTTACGATCAAATGAAACTGAAGCTAGAATGTAATTTTTATAATAATTCTAAAAGTATTAATAATTAAATTTAAATTTCTAAATCTGAAAAATAGAGGAACTAAATTTTTATAAAGAACACCAGAGAGCTTAGATTTCAAAAATTGAATTTGGATTTTTTAAATAATGTAAAGTAAGTGACAAAATACTTGGAAATGGAACATTTATGAATATTTCTCAAGTTTATTTGTCAGATTCTATTTAGTAATGAAATTAAATTTCGCAATACAATTTTGGTTTTGTGAAGTGAGATATGAATAACTTCTATATGTGTTGATACGGTGATGCGTAATACGCCGGGACCGTCGAAATTAGGGGTGAAAGGTGGTACGACGGCAAGGACAGTCGTTTGAAGGGGAAAACAGAGCGCTAGATGTCATATGATTAATCAAACACCGACATAAAACCCCAAAAATTTATTACCACGCCATCATCTAGTGTTTTCAGATTCCTGAAACAGATAATCAGATATAGTTTCCGAAAAGATTATTTTCCCGACAATGATCGACTTTTTCCGTGAACCAAATGCCGCTAAGGGCTAAATGGATCCCTGCAGAAACCAAAAATAACAAAACCAACATGGGAAAAGTTTGAAGCAAGACCAATTACAGATGACGTTATGAGGTGTTGCAATAAAACCAGCATCGGGACAGTTTATATCCGAGGTAGAAGAGTTGGCAGGTCGCCTGGGATGTCGGAACTTGCCTGTCAAACAATGTTAATAGTTTTCAGCAGCAAGGCAGTAACTGATGAAATTACATAGGAACTGTAAGAGTTAATTGCACCATACGTCCCCAAACTACGTCCAGATTATATCAGTCCCCAAACTATGTCCTCCTGTTATTTTAGTAAACTATTTGAGTAGAGCATATTTAAAATTATTGGATCTAATTTTAAGCACGTGTGCAAATGTTTCATGGATAATTTGTATCTGTCATGTAAAAAATCGACTGTCATTGAAATTTAATAGGGTTAATTTTTTATCACATCAAATCCAAGTTGTCCATTCAATGATGCACAATGTTAAAAACGTGATACATGTGTTTTAAATATGCCTAGCAGCATATCTAAGTTGACATTTAATGCTAAAACAGTTTGCTAAACTAATAAAAGGACATGTTTGAAATTATATTGATAGTGTGAGGACAAATTTAGAATGTTTCAAAGTGTAGGGAGTAATCTAGAATTTGAGCCACAATTTGGGGATGACTGGTGCAATTAACTCGTACTATAAAATGTACATTAGATTTAAACACCAGATGATTCAAAGATCTACCAAAAAAAAATTTCAGATCAATTTCCTTAGGATCAACTCATAAGAAAGGAAAAATTGGAGTTTTACTCGCTTCAGGCTAATGATAAACTTGCCATACCTGTAGATATCTTGTTAACAATTTGGTAGTGCTGAAATTAAAACCCTCAACAGGCTCACTTTTTGTACGTGATGCGTGAAGCTGTTTCCGGACTTGAGTAGCTAGTGACTGCATTTATAGAAGTGAAATAGATACTCTTAAGTTCAGGAGTAAAAAACAAATTGCAAAGAAACATTTGGCGAAAACCCGCATCAACGATATGATTATATGCCAGGAACATAATGATGCATACCTTCCCCAATTCAACTCCCCACTGGTCAAAAGAATTAATACCCCAAACAAAACCTTCCACAGCAACTCTATGTTCATAGCTTGCCAAAAGCTGAGACAACCAAGAAGTTGTCGTATTAGACCGAACAGATGAAATACATATATGCATTTAAGTGCCATAATGCTTGAAAATTGAAGCTAGAAGAGTTGCAATTTTGAGGTAGTAATCGACTTAGATGCGAAGTGATATGAATAATACAAAAGTCCTCAACAATTATAACTAGTAAATAAAATGCTTTTCATTAATTAAAGTTTAAGACGAAACCAGTTACCTGCCCAATATTGTAAGCATTAAGAGATGGAAGCAAAAGACTGAGAGAAGGCCGATTCCCAGAAAATGTCTGGAATATAGCAGAAAAAAGTTTGAAAAATGATTGCATTATGAATTAAAGTCTGGTTGAAAAGCTTTAAGTAAGTCACCTTATGAGGGATAAGATGCTGCGAAACGTTCTCCTTCAGCAACTGCTCCTCTGTCTGAAGTAAATCATTTTTTTTCCCAGCAGCAATACAGATTTTAGGCAAAGATTCATGAAATTTTAATATAAATTCTTTACTGCTTGAAATTAAATGGCATGGGTTGTTAGAATAATGACAAATAATGGATGCCTAAGAAAGCAAAACACTACCTTCCCATATGCCAGGGCATCGGGTTGTGCGAAAAAGTTGGACATAAGCTCGTCATGGTTGCTGACCACTTCACCTGCCAATAACAATAATACTTCAAATACCATGTTCAAAAACGCTATAGAAACAACAAAATATGTGATCTTCGACTTGGAAACCAACATAGAAATAAATAGAATTGTACCTTTAAGGTACACAGGTTGCTGGCTCTTCACAATACCAATGAAATCACAGGGAATTACACGTCCCTGAGGTGTCAAAATGATTTAACAATTGCCAACATTAAATCTATATACGCAGATGATAAGTCAACAAGGTTATGCAGTAAAAAAAAATGTGCTTCCATCAAAGGTAAGATGAATATGTGAAATCAAGACTCCAGTGAAACCTCAAAGTCCTTCAATCAAGCCTCTTTTCTGGTGAATAACACTGAAAAGGAGCTTTTATTGAACAGGCTAAAGTTCTCCAAGCACACTTTAGTATGTCAATTGTTATTCGATGGTAGTTTATTAAGATAATGTGCCATACTTCACAAAGGTCCCATAAAGCTTTCTAGTCTCTTCATTTTATGCACAAACTTCCACATTTACGGTTGCCTATGGCCAGATTTAGCTCTCCCAGGATCAAGCTCTGGGCATACATAACTATATAGCACCTCAAGTATTTAAGGTGGTATGAGATGTTATAGAAGGCAAGAATCACCTAGTATTCTTCTTTCTGCAAAACACAACATAAAATTCACCTGGTGGATTAGTTGATAAAAGCTGTGCTGGCCATTTGTTCCAGGTTCACCGAAATCAATTTCACCGGCCTCATAAGGAAGTGGCACACCATCAATTGACACCCCTTTTCCGTTACTCTCCATGCTGACCTGAATTGAAGTATATTTAGCAATGAATAAGATTTGAAAACATAAGCTCACCCCCCGAACCCAAAACACGCACACCCAAAACATAAACAGCCCAGCAAAAAAGGAGTTCCAACAAACATGCCTGTTGAATATGGGGAGCGAATTTCTCCAGGGCCTGAGAGTAAGGTAAAATAGCCTATATACACAAAAAGTGTTAATGATTGGTCGTAAGCATGGAAAAGGGAAGAGGAGGACCAAGAAATGGTAAATTCAACATTAGAAGCAGAAATACTCACTCTTGCAGGATACCCAAGAAATGAAACATTCCATACGCTGAGCAAACCCAAAAGCACCTATGTCATCCAAAGAATGTTATCATGCAATGTCATTAAGTAACCAGTAAGAAGACCATCACACCAATTAGGAAAGAACTTGAAATATCAACCAAACTTATATTTACAAAAGAGTCATGTGGTTAAATGAAAAATATAACATACGGTATATCCATATTGGGAATATGAAGTAACTTATACTGGATCAATTCATCCTCGTATAAAATACTAGAACCTTCATCCAGTTATACATATATTCTAACCAAAGTCATTACCCTGTAATAACTGGTAGATAAAGTTTGCAGCTGCAATGGAAGATATTACACTAAGACACTTACAGGTATATTCTTCTCAAAAGGAGCTGAACGGAAATGATCATCAATACTTGACGCCCCTTTTAAGAACCTTCAAGTAATAAACAAGAAACTTATTCAAGTATATAACTATCAAAATCACCCGGGCATAATAAGAATGGGTTAACAGTTTGGCTGAAAATTAAAACTTGCAGTTCTTTAAATCACAGTCTTGGTTATCATACTTTTGCTAGTGTTTGGAGATTCTCATAGTATTCGAAATAATTTTGTCTCATGCAGTAATGATTTAAGTTAAAGATCTGTGCACCAGCAACTAACATTTTTCATTGTCCATTAGACTACAACCTGATTTACTAAGTAATTGTTTTCAGCTATAACTATTAGTCAAGAAGAAAAAAACCACTTCACAGTGCAGCATGAAAAACTGAATTTCAAGATAGATAACTGCATGGAAAAAATGAAAAAGAAAATCCCCTTTCATTCCTAAGCTCTGTTTGTTATATTTAATCGATGCACTTCCTTAGAACAGTGAAGCTGGTTTTAAAATTGCGCAAACGTGTCTCGCCTATCTTATCTGGACTCCTAATGGATGTGACATATAGTATGAGTTTCAAGAAGTTAGGGCAATATGCTCAAAACAATAAGTTACCATACTTTTCAACTATTGAAAAACCATACTGCAGAGACAAAGGCAACACTCCAACAGCACTGCAAACTGCAAATGGCAGTTTAAAGATTAATCAACTTCCACAATTCAACTAAAAAGTGGTCTCAATCCTCAATAGAAATCAAGTGACCATAAATGATGCTTAAAGGTAAGAAAGGGCATATGGAATAAAACTTACCACTGTATCGACCACCAACCCAATCCCAGAATGCAAATGCATTATTAGGATCAATGCCAAACTTTTCAACAAGCTGCACAGAGAACATATAGAAGCTGCATAGGATCAATACTAGCATACAATATGTAAAACAAAGCCTAGTTTACTAGCACTTTAGCAAGTGACAAGGAAGAGAATAAATACAAAGCTTTGAAGCATGGAGATCCAAAAAACTAAAAAAAGCAATCCATAATCAAGAAGCCATCTGTTTCAAGCAAAAACAGAATAAAAATTCACTTTATCAAAACATTTCCCCTTTACCAAAAGCATGTTACACTGTTCTCTAGGATGTTAGAAATGCTTGACTTATGATACCAAAACTCAAAACCCAAAACGAACAGCTCAAATATGTACATAGTAGTGTGACAAATGCTGAATAACTCAAATTCAGAAGACGAAAGAAAACTGATACCTTTAGATTAGTACTGACTGCCACCATGTGTTTTGCAACTGCAGAAAGCCTGGAATTAAAGTCACAAGTAATTTAATAAGAAAGCCTGCTTAGACCCATATATTGACATAGTAAATTACATTCATGTCTTAATATTGAGGATTCCTAAGAAGATTGGGAAATCAAAAACTTAATTGAAGCATTCAAAGATGAGAACATCTTCTCTGTTTTGCTCAGTGATTTATTACTCTGAATTGTTAAACTGTAAAAAAATTCTGAAATGCTTATATAAAAAAATAGTAACAGAATCTAAACTGCCACTACATGCACATTGTTGAAGAAATAGCTAATGTTATCATAACACTAACCCAAGTGCAGATGAAATCCACTCCCTTAATGTTCGAGCATTCAACATAGTTTCTGCTGTTGTGAAAGTCTTTGAAACCACCACAACTGGAAAACAATTACAAGAAAATTAAATCAGATAAATCAACAGTGCAACAAGTGTATAAGCAACAGAAAAACAACACATGCAGTTTCAGACGAATAAAGAGAAATTAGTTACCAAGAGTAGTTTCTGGGTTTAATCCAGTAATATTTCTAGCAACATCAATAGGATCGACATTTGCGAGGCTGTGGCAATGCAAACAAAATATTACATTGAATTTCCAGAATGGCTGAATGAAACAACAATGTATCTTGTATGCAGGCATTACAAATTACATCGAAAATTTCAGACAAGCAGCTAGAATAACAGACACTTTATATTGAAAATCTAACAAGACCAAAACACTTCTTTTTTACTTGATCTCGCTTATGCTCATTCCACTATTTAGCACGCCTATGTGGCATCTATTGTTCCCATTAATATGACATAATATGCTACTTCTCTTTCTTCTCCAATATATATTAAAATTTAAGATGAAAAAAAGAAAGAGGTGCCTCAACCTACGTTTTCTATACCTTCCCCTTTCACCTCCTTAACGAAAAGGAAAGAAGCAGCATCTAGAGCTATTATAATACAATAAAAGAGCAAGTAGACACAAAAATGATACCAGCAGCAGTAATAAACAAATACTTACAAACGTAGCTGGCGTCCTTTTGCAAATTCAACAGCCTCAGGGTCTAGCAGTTATCAAAAGAAAACCATGAATACATCAGCTACACTTCCTTCTTCACATAGCACAAGTAAAAGGGTTACACAACTAATAGTAAAATGCACCAGCATAACCTGTTTGGAGAGCAGTATGCACAAATAAAGGACCTAAGAAACTGCCACCAATACCGATGGCAATAACATCCTTCAGTGGTTTCCCGGTAGCTCCAACCTGCCAACATTTATCTATTTCTCAGCAATTAAGGAGAGACATATTCAAGTGTGATGTAAAATAAAAATGTTGAATTACCCATGAGCCACTGCGAACTTTCTCCGAAAAATCCTTGATCTTATCCAAAACATTCCAAACATCTGACACCACATTCTTGCCATCACTGTTTATAACAGCATCCCTTGGTGCTCGAAGAGCTACATGAAGCACTGACCTATCCTCGGTGCTATTTATCTGAAATTTCCAGGAAAAAAAGAAAGAAAGCCACAAGACAACATCATAAACACTAAAAACGAAAAGGCGTGAACAGACTATTACTATATCATCACCAATCTTTACATCAAACCCAAAACTAGTCTTGTCTTTCTCTCAGGCGATAGTTAGACTTACATGCTCGCCACTGTACATTCGGTTAATTTGTTGTTTGAGAGAAGCAGCCTGAAATTATAAAGAACATTAAATATAATCAAAACTATTATGATTTAAATCAACAATTTCAGAAACGATAACTAATCCAAATTCACCTCTGCTAATTTGTAGAGTTTATCCATGGTGTCAAGAGTGGCACACTGCCTTGAGTAGTCCAAAAAGATTCCATCAAACTCCCTGTAAATACATAGGTACACATGATCAAATATTTCATCATTTTTATTACTATTAGAAGTTCGAGCAGATATCCAATCAGGAAAAAAATCATAAGAGTTGAACAGATGATCTTACACCATCATCGATTCGCACCGTTCCTTGTCGTTCATGAGATCACGGAGATGAATTTTCTTGATATCCTCAACATGAGCCTAAAAAACAATAAACCCAAATTTATATTGAACTCATAGATTTCTCTTGATATTTCAGCTATAATCTGAGCTAGAAAATGAACAGAAAATTTACCTTCAGGTCCTTCCATGGCTGGGTGTCGCATATTAGAGTGGTCGAAGCCATCTCAACCTATATTGAAACATAACAAATTAGCTTGAGATCTCAAAATCGATCAGAAAAAATGGCAAATAATTTGAGAAAGAAAAGAGAGAAATTACTGATGGAATCAGAACAAAAGACTTTGAAGCTGGCAAAGAGATTTGGCAAGTTTACGATATAGGAAAAGAAAAAAAAGGAAATAAATGTTACGTGGTCAATAAATGGGAGGGTCGAAAGAGCATATGTCAAATCGATACGGTTCAGGAATTTCCCGGTCACTGAAACTTGGGTCCGGTTTAACGGATTTGGAAATTTGAGAGTTATATATTTGATTGTGACTTTTGAGGGCTGAAATCCGTGGGCGATGACGGATTTCCGATGGGCCCGAGGAACTGTCAGCTAGATGGTTAAACTTCTTTGTGTCAGTCAAAATTTTTCATGTTTCTATCTTGGTCACTTAATTTTAATTTTTTTCAATTTCGTTCATTTTTATCACTTGTATAACGTCAACATCAAAATACTTCATTTTGGGGCTTCTTTTTCTAAAATTTTATCTTACTTTCATATGGACGAAATGTTTCTCCATCATCATTTGATTATAATCAATAGTCGCTTATGACGTAACATGTATTAAAATATTTTTATTTCTCCTCTATTTCTATTTCTCAGTTTTATTTTTTCTTAAAGTTTTCTTAGAATTGATAAAATTTAAATCAAAACATTAAAAGTTCTGATTTCACTAATAGAATCCTTATTTTTTTAATTTAATCCCTAAATTCTGATTTTATTCAAATTAATCTTAACTTTCAAAATTAAAAAAATAAAAGACTTAATTAATTTAATTAAAATTTTAACTCGATATTGAGGTGTGGCATTTTATGCGGCGGTTGGAGTTTGTTGGTTTCAAAATTACTATTTTCTTTTTGTAATTTAAGCTTTGATCAATAATTTTAGAGGATTTACATTTTGCATTGTTTTGAAAGAATTTAGTTATTTGATCACCTTTAAAATTATATAAAATGGTGTAGAGATTGATTATTTTGTAGACTTTTATTATTATTGTAGAGATGGATAATGTGAAGATGAAGAAGAAAATATTAGGCGGTAATTTGGTGGGATTAGATAATATTTGGACCTCTATCTCAATAAAATAAAGTCTATGCCATCTCTCTGTGATAGAACTCCTCGTTAACTGACAAAATAGCAAACTACATAAATAGTCCCTAACACTTTTAGGGTACTTATATTTTAATCATCAAATTTTTAAAACTCACAATGTAATCACTAAATTTTTAAGATGTTTGTCTTACTGTCACTATCGTAAGATGACGTTAAGCTAGGTTGAATGTGGCATGAAAAAATATATTTTATTTATTTATTTGATTTTCTAAAAAAAACTTAAAAATGGAAACCAAGACCAATATAGAATATCATGGTGGTTCCAGGCATTGTCGTGGATAGGGTTGTAAATGAGTTAAGTCGAGTTTGAGCATTACTGAGTTCGATCAACTCAAAAACTTTAAAATAGAGCTCGGTTTGGCTCAAAAGCTTGTGAGTTTAAAATTTTTAAGCTCGACTTAAACTCAAAAATCATGAATTGGAGTTCAAAAAAGCTTGAAATAAAAAAAATATGCTTAAACTTAACTCTGTTGAAGCTCGAACTCAAACCTGAACCTTAAGTATATAAAAAAAATTATATTGAATTTTTAAAAAAATCAACGCATAAACGCAAATATTATTAATAATTTAATTTTTTAAAATAAAATTTAATATATTATTTTTTTAGTTTCTCACGAACTTTTCGAGCTGAATATCAAATAGCTCATTTTGGCTTGTTAAAAACTCAAGTCGAGTATTTATCAAATTTTAACTGAATTAAACTCGAATAACTCATAATATATCTCATCTCATTTACCGTCTTGGCCGTAGGGATTTAGTTTGGTTTCATCTCATTTACTGTCCTAGCCGTGGGGATTCAGTTCAGCTAGGCTCTGCAACTTTATCTTGTAACCCCTTATGTCCAAATTCTCATTATACCTCACGTTTGGACTTGGTGGCGGAACTAAAAATTTACTAAAACGGGTAAAAAAATAAGAGTCCAATAATATTTACAATCAATGATCATGTAATAATATTTATATTTTTAATTGAGGGTAAATAGAACTTATTTTATTTATTTCCCAAAAATAAATATATTTTTTAATATTAATAAACATTAAAAATATAATTGTCAGGGACCAAGGCAACTGCTGGCCGCTATGTTCCGCCCTTAAATTGGACTGCTTTCATTTTGCTTTGTGGCCTGTCTCTTGTCTCCTCATTCAACCCATCTTAGGCTTCAACAGTGACCCTGCGCCTCTTGTAGCGGTTTTCGGTTTTCGGTTTTCGTTGATATAATTATGTAATTAATATTTTAAATTATATATATTTAATTTTAATTATTTATATTTATATTTTAATGTCGTTAGCTTTAGGGATAATATATATTGCATATTAAAAAAATTAAATGCTAAAACATGGAGAAGAACAGGTGATCATAGAAGCAGACAGTAGCCATACTATAAAAATGCTGAAGGAAGATGGCCCATGCAAAGGTCAACTAACCTTATCCATGTTAACAAAGGACATAGTGAAACGCTACTAGAAAGTATTATTCGAACACATACCAAGGGAACGATTACGGTGGCAGATGCTCTAGCCAAGCATGTAAGAATGCTCCCAAGCGGAATCCAAGAATTTCAGCAACCCCTAGACATGGTAGAGACGATACTAGTGTGAGATTACACTAGATTACCTTAGGACTAGTTACTTCTTTGATTTTACTTTTGAGAGGAAAAAAAAATGTCATCTATCTAATTGTATAAAAAGTAAATATCTAATTGCACTTGAAAAAATTAAATATTTAATTATACCATTAAAAAATTAAATATATATTACACATAGATGTCAAAATTACTAAAAAGTTATATTTATTATTTGTTGTAGACGAAAAACTTAAGAATGAAGGCAGGAGGAAGTTGTGATTTGTCTGGTTGCTGCAGATTAACATACGAAACTTCGACCGGAGTAACCTATAAGTTTCCCCGGTACCAGCTGAATGATCACGACAAGAAGTACTTTAGGGTTTGGGTTCTTACATACATTTTCCCAAACAAAATAGCAGAAGTGCAGAACGGATCACACGTGCAAAATCAACGACACTATTTTCCAGGGCCGTGCTGTGCAAATTCTTATAATGGATCCCTATTTTCTATAATAAATGCTTATGAAGGTTCAAGTGGAGTAAATAAGAAGAGAAAAAGTAGTAGGGAAAATAGGAGCACACTGTTTTGGTTACCAGTGAATTGTAGTAATTGGCAGACAAAGGATTGCATTGTCTGCAATCACACGGAACCCAAAGCAGATCCCGCATCCAATGTTGTATTATATTAATGAACAATATTAAAAAAAGGTGATGTTTTTGTGTTCCCCAAAGGCCAAATGTCTGGTTCATTACAGTAGTATTTAAGGGGCCCTATTTTTGTGGAGTCCTACGCCGTCATGTAGTTTGCGTCGGGTCAGCCACGGTTCTGCTATTTTCCCTAAAGTAAAAAAATATGTACTTTTTTTAGTGGATGAAGGATGGCCGAAGCCTTACCTTAAGTTCTTATACGGAGATAAAGAGATCCTAAGATGTCACGCTCCAAAATGCTGAGTAGATTTTGTAGTAACCATTCACCTAGAGGAAAGTTGAAGAAAGAAGCCATAGGATATTTCAATAACAGTTGATTCCAAGGAAGGCGTGACGAAGAACAGTCTCTAAGAATTTGAAGACATGTTTCATCTGGTTCATAGCAAATTCGACAGGAGCGATCATGGTCAATACCACGGGAACATCTGTTGTGATTCGAGAGCACTTTGTCCTTCATTACCATCCACATGAAAGCACGAATAAGTTCAGGAACTACTTATTTCCAGATTGTTTTCCAGTAGGAATCTTTTGCATCCCAATTGGGACTGTCCAACGCAATATAAGCACTTTTCACAGAGTGCATCGATTTGGATCCTGTTTCCGATAACATTGATCACTACCGTGAGATAAATTCGGAGGTTGAAAGTTATACATGCCCTTTACCTGCTAAATCTTCAAGATCAACAATGTCTTCCACTCCTCCATCATCATCATCACCACTTTCAAGGCTTTCAACATCACTCAGATAAACAATGTCATTATCATTTTCCGCCACCAATCCCCCTTCCAGAACAGTAACCACCTTTTCACTCCACTATCCAATTCACCTCCATCCACGTCACCTTCCTCAACTGGCACCGTCTCCGTTTATTGGGCTAGGGTTTTAGATGTTCTTGTTTGAGTAATGAAGAAAAGCTTACCTTTTCTAGGGTTAAGGTCAAAAGGGAGTTGTTTGAGGGGATTTTGGCGGCGGCGGGATTTGTAGAGGAAGTAAAAAGTGGAGGCGGAGAGGAGAGCCAGAAGAGTTAGGCGCGTGGAGAGCGAGGATGCGGCCATTCTTGCGACTTATTATTTCCTTCTTTTTCCGTCAGAACTTTTGGCGGGTTTTAGCGGAAGTAGGAGCGCAGGCGTTCGTCGTGGTGGTGAAATGGAGGAAGAAGGCGGCAATATAGTCATCTTTGGCACGAACATGGAGATATGTTGAACTTTAAATCAGAGTTTATTTTGAAAAGCAAATACTATTTTGGGTCAATTTTAAAAATGATCCCTCATATTTTAGTAAATTTACATTTTAATCACTAATGTTTGAAAATTTATAACAAGAGAATTATATTGATTTATGACATAACGATTACTCAGTTGTTACCAATGTAAATGACATGAATTTGGAGAATTTGCTCATACCATTACATTTCTAGCAATGAAATGGTCAATGAATGCAGGAACAATGAAACAAACACATGAGAAGTTGGAAAAATGAACAAAATTTACAACAAAGATCAAATTAACATATGCATTTCTTACAGTCTTCCATTCTCCACCAGGTCCAAAGTATGAAAGCTACTGCAAATTTACAGTTACTAAAGGAAGCTGCCATTGTCATACTTCCAGACAGTCCTTAACCCCCTGTTCAAATTTGTCAAGAGAAATTAAGGTATCCTTGAGTGCATCTGCAACCATTTGTCTGTGGAATGAAAGAAATACAAGTGGTCGACAACTGCTTTATTAGGTAAAGGTAAAAGTAGGCTTGGTACTTTTTAATATGAGACCGGACGAATAATTAAAACATGCCAATAAACAAAACTCTGCATGAAAGAGTAATGCGAAAAGTACATGAAAATTAATAACGTGAGAAATAACATTAATACAATGCAAATCCACAAACTGTAATGCTTATGTAAAAGTTGTCAGTGAAAGGAGCTGACATTGTTTCATATTATTAGAAATGAACTCCATCCGCATAATTTGCATTGGGTTTATACTGTAAAAGCATACCTGTTGGAAGCAACTTGAATATCTCTTTCGTTTGCCAAACTATTAAGAGAGGTAAATGAGCTGCCAAGAAAGAAAAATAAAGATAAGCAGGTAAACAAATATGAAGGAAGTAAAATGAAGCCGGGAAAAAACTTGAAGGGAGAATTTTGGATCCAGCAGGCATTGGATCTTAGGGTGACCTAAGGAAAATGACAAGAAATGCTTTAAAATCATCTGGATATCAATGTTCTTCCAACAAACACACAAAAGAGAATCATGCTACAATGAATGCAGAGAAAGAACATCACCATTGGCCAAACAAACGGTGAAAGATATTCCTTCGCCAAACTATTAAGTGAGGTCAACAAGCTACCGGAGAAATAACAATAAGCATCAACAAACTATGGAGGTTAACAGATTATAAACACTTGAAGGGATAATTCTGAATCCGAAAGGCACTGGGATCTTAGGGGGACTTAAGGAAAATGAACCGAAGTGCTTTAAAATAATCTTGATATCGAGTTCTTCCAACAAACACCCAAAAAGCAAAACATGCTGCAATTTATGCAAAGAAGTAAACTTTGTCGCCATTTCCTTCAATAATTATGGCAAATCAACAGCCAGAATTGAAACTAAAAATTACTCAGTGATATTTTACATCTTCAGATTTCAAGCTTAAAAGGAACATAACGCAGATACCTTATAAGATCATCTAGCATAGCTTCAGCTTCCAGCTTAACAGGATTCTTCTTCTCAAGCAAAGAAGAAGCATTATTCACAATCAAACGGAATGTGCAAACCTGTCAATTATAGAAATTCGAGCTACAGAATTATAACCCAAAGTGGGGAATTCATTTCCACCTCTCTGATTTTGTTTTAACTTCACATTTTAGTGAACAGAATGTTGACAATATCAACATTTTGGTGAAATAAAAAAGCCTAAAAAAATTTTTTTCACTTAGAATCAATGGATGCGTAAGAAATTTGATTTTCATTCTAAGGAGTAAGGGCAAGAACAAACCTCGACTCCGGTGTTGGCTTGAAATGCAACGAAGGAATTCCTCTCTTGTACAACACAATCCCTAGCGGCAGATTTCAAGAGTCTTTGGACATCCTCTAAATCCTTACTCAAATTAGTTGATTCCTTGTCAGCTATTTAGAAAATTATCCAAACGACCAAAATTAATCAAAGAAACGCAACAAACAGATTCACAAAATTACAGGAGAAAAGGGACGATAAATAGAAATGTAATGTACTGAGCAAAAGATAAGCGGAGCGAAGGCTTTGGCGAGAAGCATCTATTGGGGCCAAAAGGAATTTCGAAGACTTCCTCTTTTGCTCTTTAAGCCAATCCTTTGGTCCTGCTGCGAATAGCGATAAACACTCAAAACAGCAGTTAATAAAAGAAGAAAAAATCAATAAACAAAAGAAAGAGAGAATTGCTCACAAATCCCAATGGAGAAGGCAGAAGCTTGAGGGGGATGGAAGAGGGAAGTGAGGAGAGAGACTAAAGAGAGAAAAGCAGCGTCTCTGCGGGAGAACTGGATTTGATTTTGAAGATGGCGTTGCAGTTTCTGTTGAGTCTCTTGATTGGGGTTGACGGGGAGCTTTTGAATTGAAATGGGAGGTTTAGGAAGAATTGGCGGGAGACCGGCGACAGTAGACACGGAGGCGCTAGACATAAGGCGGAGCATAGGTGGAGGCATCGCCGATGCAGAGTAATTGCAAGTAAACGAACAATTTTAACGGCCTTCACGAGTGGATTAAACTTAAAAGAACTTTATACTAAAATGAGGGTAAACTACATAATGATCCCTAGATTATTAGGATAATTTCATTTTGGTAAACAAATTTAAAACTTGCAATCAAAGAAAAGATTCAATATTTGAGCAATCAAATTAAGTTCCCTTGCTTATCATTTTCCTTTTGATGTAGGTGTTTTTATATCATAAGAAGAAAAGAAAGGAGGGTGCCGAAAAAGATAAGAGAAAGAAATGCGAGTTACCAAATTATGTTCTAGTTAGCATAAATCAAAACTTGCAATTCCATGACTTTAACGATATAAAATTGTCACTGAAAATTTCAACAACAAATACAAGATGAGTGATTCTGTTTGATCGAGGTGTTCTTGAAGGAGAATTGCTGGCTATAAAATAAATTACCAAAGTCGTAGATAAGAAGGAATGTTACCCGCGGAGGATCAATCATTTCACTTTTAATATGCTTTTTGTGAGTTTTGTGAGCACTCTAATGTTTTTTACCTTGTTTATGAGTTCATCACCTTCACAACTTCACCACCTCAACATATGTGCATAAAGATATTTACGGTGAAAATGGCTTATGATTGTGGTAAGAAGATTGTGAAGTTCTTGAGAACGATAGAAGTTGTGTTCAGTGACGATGATCATAAGAAAAACGTCAAATAATGAAGATATAAACGAAAAGAGACAATAAATTTAAAAAGAATATACGATTTCGTTGGGAAAAATATTTTACTATGTCACGTCAGTTTTTTTAATTGTAATTTAAAACAACAACTTGTAATAAAAACGAATTAAAAATTCAATAAGCAATATTATCTTCAATGTCATTAGTCCATCCTTCGTCATATGACATCTTCACTTTTCGTCCGTTCTAAATTTTGCAACCACGCCATTACGATACCGTAATAATGTTGCCACTCATCTGACAATTCCCACGGACTTTTATTGCAATTATTTTATGTTGTCACTCAAAACTAATAGTTGATGATCATAATAGACACGAAATATTATGTATGATTTTGAAATAGATAATAATTAAGTGATCAAAAAATATTAGAAATAATTGTGTGGCTAAATAGGTAATTTATCCTAGAATAACATGGGTCATTACTCATTATTAGGGTTGGATATGAGACCTGAATCCGACGGGTATCGATTCTATTTGATCGATCAGATTGGTTTTTTTTTTAATTGGATTCAGGTTTGGTTAGATTTTTTTAAGGTGATGTTTGGGTCGGATTCGAATTTATGGTGAAAAATATCTGACTCAGAAAAATATAATTTTATCTTATATATTTATGAATAATTACAATAATACCCCTCAATATATTATTTTTTCAATTAAATCATTATTTTCATTGAATAAAAAATATTTTTTATTATTTCGGATTGGGTCGAAAAAAATCGAGTTTAAATTTTATCTCAAAAATCGATTCGAGTTCAAGTTGGATAGAGGATATATAATTTTAAGGTCAGATCAAACGAAAAATATAAAATTTTTAGATCAAATTAGGTTGGCTAAAACTCGACCTATGCCCATTCCTAGTCACTACTCCTAGACCCGTTCTGGAAAAGCCGAAGCTCGTGATAGACTGGGAAGTAAAGCCCTAGAAAAAAGATCAGAGAATAACCTAATCCCCTTGATTGATCAATCGGACGATCCAATCTTACACATTTCGGTACTGGTACAACCCTCTATAACTACTGAAAACACTCCCTAGTTTTCCCTCACTATTCTCTTTGATCAATTTATGGATTTTGTGTTCTTAATTGATTCGGCAACTCTTTTCTTTCTACTTCTTTGACATTTGATGAAACAGATTTATTTGATTTTTCTACCAGGTGTATTTTGATTGCAAATATCAGATATGTTTAAAATTGCAACGACGTTCTGCAAAAGGATAAGCGTGAAGGAGCTTGTTACCAGCGCTCCTGTCTACTGCACAATCACGGGTATTCTTCATTTAAATGAGTTGTTTTGTTCGCTTTTAGAATTTTGTGAGTTATTTTCAGCTAATTTCATGGAATAATTTTCCATTTTTTGTGGCTTAGATGAGTCTTCTTCCGGCTTAAGTTTGATGCTTAAGAGATGGGCTAGTAAAAAGACTGCCGGATCAACTAAGAATGGAAGAGACTCAAAACCCAAGAATCTTGGGGTGAAGAAATTTGGCGGCGAGGTCAGTGGGTGATCCGGATTCAAATGCTTTAAAATTTAGTAATAGTATATATGAATATGATGTGATACGATTATTGACATTGTTGTGGCAGAGGGTGATTCCTGGAAACATTATAGTCCGCCAGCGAGGAACTCGTTTCCATCCCGGAAACTACGTTGGGATCGGGAAAGATCACACTCTCTATGCTCTCAAGGAAGGGTGTGTGAAATTCAAGACGCATAAGCTTAGTGGGCGCAAATGGGTACATATTGAACCGAAGGAAGGACATGTCCTTCACCCTCTTTATGCAACTGCTGCTTCAGGAGAGCCGAAGACGGCCACATAAGGTTTGTTCCATAGTTTGTTTAGGCAATCAAGTTTGTGTTTTCCGTGATTATCTTGGATAATATTCGACTATCAATTGTATGAGAATTTTGGGAGATGCAAATTAAAAGAACCATGAGTTTTGCTCCCCTATGTTTTGATTATCACATGGTTCTTGTTTCAGTTTCCTTTTGGTTATTCATCTATTTTGAATAATTAATCTTTCAATGGTCTTCGGAATTGGCTAAATCTCCATTTGGCATATATTTTTATACTAAAAGCTTGTCAGTTTCATGCTCCGAGCAGTGCCCCCAGGAGCGGGACGAATCTCGGGTGAGAAAGCTTTCTAAATAAGTCCAATTCCATCATGTAAGTTTCGTTCTTGAAAGAACTCGTATTGACCCTTTTGATGACCACAGGGATCCCACCCTCTAAGATACTACGAAATAGGTCGCCCGAGTGGCCTTGCTTAATAAGATTCGTCTACCTAAAATTCTCAGTCGTGAGGAGCAACTGCTCGTATGTAAATGAGCCTCCAGAACCTGCTAAGTTTGTAGGATCTTTCGGAAGTTGAGGACTATCTCCTTCTGGAACAGGCACAACATCCGCACTGCCTCTTTGATTTCCAATGCCCTTATTACGTATCAAGATGAGTACAAGCAGCAGAACCAAAACTACAATGAAACCAAGTCCACCAATTACTCCAGCCAAGATGAATATCAATCGTTTCCTGTTCTCTGGACTAGATTCTGCAGGAGGCGAAGTAGCGTCTGGTGCTCCAAAACTATCAAAACTTAACCCTCTTTCGCTGTAAAACAGTCTGTAATCCTCCAAACTCCTTTGTTTTGTAGCCTGAAGGCAATTCTTGTCGATACTACCATTCCTTTCGACGCCATTAACAAACTTGCCTTGAAAATAGTTGCCAGAGAGATCAATGAATTTGAACATCCCAGGTGAAAAATTCAAAGTTCCAAAAAGAAATTGTTCGACAGATTGAACACGGCAGCAGTGGCAACACTAGAAGGACCTGTAAAATTGTTGTTTGATACATCTAGGGACTGCAATTTAGACATTGACCAAATTGCACTATTAAGAGCACCATCAAGCTTATTCCTATTCAAATCCACAACTTGCAGCTCAACAAGACTCGAAAACAAATCAACAGGCAGACGTCCCTCGAGCTCGTTATCCCCCATTATCATCTTTCGTAAACTCCTCAACATCTTTATTTCCTCAGGCATTGAACCATACAAAGAATTCTTACTAAGATCAAGCTCAACCAACCTTGAAAGATTACCAAACTGAATAGGAATGGGACAAGAAAGATTATTATCTGAAACATTAAACACTTGAAGACCTCGTAAAGAGCCTAAACTAGGTGGAATTAACCCAGATAAGTAATTTGAAGCAAGTTCAAGCCTTTCAATGTTCCCAAAAGACCCAATGCTTGAAGGAATTAAACCATTGCGCGAATTAATAGAAAGATCAAGAATTTTTAAATTCCTCAACTTTTCCAATGTAGCAGGAATCGAACCAGCAAGATTGTTATTATGAAGATACAAAGAAGTGAGTCGACTCAAGTTACCGAGTGTACCAGGGATTGAACCGGAGATATTGCATGACCGGAGATTAAGAACCTCGAGATTAACCAACCGGTTCCCGAACCAATCCAGTATTGACCCGGGGAGAGGGAACCCGGATGCATTGAAGGAAACTAACGGGGTCAAATGAACCAAAGAATCAACATTGAACCCGGGATTGAGCCGTCCAACTCTGGTTCTTCTTAAACCTGAAACAGTGATGTTCGAGACGGAGCGATTTCGACATTCGACACCGAGCCACGACGAGCAAGGGTCGGCCTTCATGGGCCAATCTTTGCCTCGGAGACCTAGAGATGCGCGGAGATCCAGCAATGCCCGCCGTTCGATTGGAGAACTTATCCGAACTCTCTGAGCCGCCACACACTGGATCAATAACAAGATTACAGCTAAAAAGAAGATTGATAACGCACTTCCTTGAGCTTCCATTGATAATGTGAAGCTGGTGCTGATGAACTTCAATGGAGGCTAAGTCCCTGACTCATCTTCTTCCTAAAAAAAATAAAAATATTTACAAGAATATAAAAAAGAAAAAGAATCTGTTAGTTTTTTATGTTTGACCATTACCATTAACATCAAAAAAGTTCTCTTTCACCAATGTGTACATTTTAATGTTCATAATAAAGCAACTCAATACTCGATAAATAAAAAGAATATTTATTTATTATTTGTAAAAAAATATAAATATTTTTTCTTGTTCTTCGTAAATTCTTACCACCAATCACTAACTTTGGTTCTGCATCGGTGTTGTTCGTTGGTTACCGCCAATCCAGAATCAATAATTTAAACCGATAAAAGAAAATTGAATTCAACTTCATGTATTGAATCCAAACAAAACAACAACAAAATATGCTAATCTTGAAGTTTAAGCTGGCAAACCAAAAAGAATTCTTGTTTGTTTCTCGAGAAAAATAAAATATATGAATGATTGCACGGGGTTTTAAGGGAGGAGGGGTCAAGGGGCATTAATGAGCAAGCGCTTGTTTGCCCAAACGCCGGGCTTTTCGACAAACACTGTGTTACTTGCTATTTAGTGAACCTCAGCCATTACAAAATTTGTTATTAATTTATTATTGCTAGTGGCTCAGTGGAGCCAAACTCAGAGCTTCTTCAATGGTGGTGACATGTTCTATAGCAAATTCATTGACTTGGGAACGATTAGAAGAAAGGTGCAGTCTTGATCGTCAAAATGCACTATTATTTTATAAACAATAAAATTTGGAATATACAAACAAAATAATAAAAAGAGTGAATCCTTTCGTTTTCAGTTTTCACATCATAATCAAACAAATTTGTTGATTAAAAATTTAAATGTTATGTTTAAATTTTATTCAGTTTTGATAGTTGGATTTGAAAAAAATTATTTTTAGATCATTTATATTATTGATATGTTAATAAAATTTGTTAACTTTTAATTTGATCTATAAATTTTAAATTAAATATCAATTTAAACATTGAAATTTTTTTCAGCCCTAAGTTTTAACCTACTTTAATGTTATTCATTGTCCACGTTACTCTGCCCACCTTCTTTGATGGATGATGAGAAAGGTGACATTCTCCGCCTCTCTTCCATTCTTCTCTGGCTCTTGCTAAATGCAATCGAGAAATAGACTGCTGCTTGCTGGCTTCTTCTGGCTAGAAAGTTAAAGTTGTCATTTACTATCGCTTCGATTAAACATGACTAATCATTTTCTCCGAGTAACGAGAGAAGTTCTATCGTGACCTTAATATACAACTAAAAAAACACACTATCGATTTTATTTATTTTTTTAACAAAATCAGTAAAAAATTATTGAAAACATTATTATTTTTACCCAAATCATTATTGAATGCTTTATCGAGCTTGTTAATATATTTTTTTCTACTAGATATATTATGAAACCCGGTAAAGCACTCAATAATAATAAAACCGATAGAAATAATAATGTTTCCGGTAATATTTTACCGGTTTTGTTAAAAAAATAATAATAAAACCAGTAACGTTTTTCCTTAACCGTATATTAGACTGCCACACGTGAGACTTCCCCGCAAATAACGGTAAAAACATGTTAGGAATTAACGAATAGAATTCCGCTGCCTTCGTTCTCTGTCTCTATATATGCCTCACCATTTATATTATGATACATATTAATGATAAAACTAAAAAGTTATCATTTTCTTTATTTTCTTATTTTCATTTTATTTTTTTATTTTCTTACTAAAACAAAACCAACATTAGTTTTATAATATTTTTTAAAGAAAATCAACAAAATCATGTAAATTTAATTTACTTTTTAAATTTATTATTTATTTATTATTAAATTTGAATAAAAAATCATTTATAATAATTCAGTTCAATTAATTTTTTTACATTTTTTTGTTTTTATTTTAGGATTTAGGGTTTAAATTAAATAAATTAATTTCATTAAAATTAATAGAATATTATTGAAAATTTTAAAAATGTTACAAAACTAATGTTGATTTTGTTTTAGTTAGAATTCTATTCGGAATTACCCAACATCGTTACTTGGGAAAATCTCATGTGCGGCAACCTAATATACGGCTAAAGAAAGACGATACTAATTTTTGTTATTATTCCCGTTATTTGCATGGTTTCATGCTTATTTCTAAAGTTTTTTTTTTTCTCCCTTTTAGAAGTTAACTTTATGTGCATTTGAACCTTTTTATGCGTGTTGCAGTTTACTCATAGACTATTGGATTCTCGGAAGAACATAAAACCTATAAAATATTGTAGGTTTAATTAGGGACGGAAGTAAATTTTTGTGTTATGGGTGAATTTTAAAATTTTAGGAGGGGTCTGATTTATAAAATTTGAAGGGATCAAAAACATATTTTTAATAAAAATATATAGAAAAACTTAAAATACATGATAATTTTAAATTTTCAAGGGAGACGATTACCCCCACTCGTAATTAAAAACTTAAAATACATGATAATTAGGGGTCTCAACTATAAAAGGAAAAATAAAATTTAAAAAATTAAGAGTCTTAATTATAAAAATAAAAAAGTAAAATTGAAAATTTTAAGACGGTATAAAAAATATATCTTGAACGAGAGCATTTCCTTGTACACATTATATGACTCATTTGGTGTCTTAGAGCGTTATTAAATGGTATATCAATCAATTAATAACTTATGAGTTACGACCCTTAATGATGATTCTTCATATATTTATGAAGGATTTATTTACGAGATGAGGAATTATAATTCTTTTATCTATATTAGGGTGTTTTTGCAATTTTATACTTAGATAATTTAATTATTTAAAACTTACGATATTTTTAGACATTTTAGTCGCCGAAGCATTTCCATTAATCTTAACTCATATGACTCTTATAGTTTAGTTATAGGTCTAAGAGTATCTCACACTTTTTATAAATTTAATGCTCACTTCCATTCGTCAGAGAATTTAACGGTATTTCATAATTTTACACTTAACAACGAAGTTTTAGTAACTTGAATCCCCAAGGGTACTTTGACCAATTAATGGTTTAATACCTCATTTTAATCTCATTTAACCGTAATAGGTCATTATCCAACGTTTCCGGTTGTTTTAACGGACAAACTATGTTTTCT